TCCCCAAGGTCTTCATGTTTGCTGATACCCTGGGAGGAGCTGGAGTGGACAACTGTGGCCCGGTCTTCCCAGAACACTCTTCCTGGGGCACCACCCTCCATTTTATGAGCTTCCAGTAGCTTCCACAACTTCCACAGCAACAGGTATGGTCTGAGACCAGGATGGTTCAGAGAGAAGCCTGGAGCTCAAGCTGGACAGATCTGAATTTTCCCCTGGGGACTTCTCATAGACCCACATTGTCTCTGGGGTCACAATGCTGAAGGGGTGAAAATACGGGTTTGCCAGTCACATGGTCCTGCTGCTCAAAATGAACCTGGATATGTAAAATGACACATGAAGAGAAACAGTCAAAAAGGGAAAGAGAGCGTCCCAGGAGCGCTGCTCGATCCCTGGCTTCAGCTATCCCTGTCCACATACCACTCCTGCCTTTCCCAGATACACACGCCAACCAAGCCCCCTTAGAGCACTAGCAAGTGTAGCCAAGTCATGTCACTTGCAACAAAAGGAGTTCTGGATTAAGCAGAAATAGCTTGGGGGTGTTGGACAATGAAAAGGAGGTGGACAAGATCTCAGGACCTCTTTACAATCTAATTCATATCTTTTGCTGATCTTCACAGACACACAGGGAGTTGGGCCTGAGTCCCTTCCCCTCACTCAGCTCAGCCCTCTGATTCAGTCTTGAGAGGAAACCCCCTTTTTTGTTTCATCTGTGAAAGTGAGATTACTGATCTCACTTCACTTGCAGCCCCACTATCACTCTTTTATACTCCCTTGTCATAGGGACAAATAACTAAGAATACAGTGGGACATTCCCTAAAGACTCAGGGAAAGTGACAGATAGCTCAGATGAAACTCCGTCTTCACACCATAAAGCCACTGGAGGGGCCTCCTGACAGCGTATCTGCTGACTTTAGGTACTATACTGGCTTGAGGATGGATTAAATCAAATTTCAACAACAATAGTGATAATGACAGACACTAACCTTTACGGAGCACTCACTATGTTATCAAGGACCACATGGTGTCTGACAGGTGCTACCACATTTGCAGCAAGGACCATTATTACTCCAGCAGTAGCATTCTGTGGGGCTGTGCCCCCTCTTTGGAAATAACCTCAGTCCTTATGGCCACAAGAGGAGCAACCCATTTACATGAGATCCTGCCCTCAGTCACAGCTGATTGGCCTAGGGGATGATCACCTGACCCGGCATAGGCCAATAATATCCTTCCCTGTGAATTTTGAAGGTAGAACCAACTCAAACAAGACTCTTTCGGGGTGGCTGGTGTGATTCTCATGTAAGCCCTGAAGAAACACAAAAGCCATGTTTTCCATGGTGTGGTCTGCAGAGCAGAGGACACTTAGAGACAGAAAAAAGAGATCCAAGTCACTGCCCAGAGAGAAGCAGGCAGTGAGGAAGAAGCAGCAGAGAGGAAGCCCTATTGGGTTCACCTGGACTCTGGCTGGTGGAATCCGCTGAGTTCCTGACCTTCCCCTGACTTGATTTCCACCCCGTCTTAATAAATTTCCTCTGTTACAGTTGCTTTTTTGTCACTCGAATTTTAAAAGTCCTAATGAATACAGTTCCCATTAGCCAAGAGAAACCGAAGCTCATAGTAGTTATGATTGTGGGAATGAATCCCACACATTCATTCAGAAGTGATGCTCTCAGCCCCAGAATCTTCCCTGAACATCATAAACATAAGAATTCTAGTCTTCCGAGAGAGCTGCTCACCATCCAAGAGGATGTTTAGAGATAGCCCAATGAGTAAGAACTCATCCCCCGTGGAGAGATTTTCATCAGAGAAGATGCTTTGGGGCCCTCTAGTGTCTCGCTGATTCGTTAGTGAACAGGGCCAGCTTCTAAGAGAACCCTCAGTAGATTTAACATGAAAACTGTCCCTTCCAGTGGTCATTTAAGGCAACAAAGCTTGATTCCTCCCTCTACTTCCCCATCCCACCCAAGTCCTGTTGGTTCTAGCTCCAAAGTGGACCACACCTATCCACATTCCTCTCCGGACATGATGCAGGCTACCTCCCCTCTGATCCTGCAGAAGCTTCTGCACTGGTCATTTGCCTGTTTGCATTCGACTGGGGATAGTTAAAGCCAAATGGGTTAGAGGCAGAGGGGCAGAAGCATTTATCCCCTTCCCACGCTCCTCCCCAACTGGTGAGGAACTTAAGGATCATACATTTCCAGAAAAATAGATTCTGCCAGGCCATGGCAGTTCAGCCATAGACACAGGTGCTGGATGTTGGGGGAGATGCACCCTGAGAGGCAGTGTGATCAGGAACAGGAAAGGGACCCAAGGACATAAGCAGGGAGCTGACTGTGATCCCTACAGAGGCTTTCAGAAATGTGCAGGGGGTGTTTTGTGGCTGGCAGTGATTGGGGGTTGTAGGGTAAGGTAAAAAGTATCAGGCTTTTCTGCCCTCCCACCATTAGGATAGATGATGAAACCCTGCGGTTCCGAACGCATGCCTGATGGCGGGCACCTGGAGTAGGGTGTGGGCCTATGTAGACGGGATTCACCTGGGCTAAGACTGGGCTTTTAAGGGCAGCGTCATGGGGATGCCTGCAGAAGCCAAGAGAAGAGAAGCAGGAGAAGCAGAGAAGCAGAGCAGCAGAGATCACCAGAGAGCTCAGAGTGAAGACTTGCTGGGGGCTGGGAGACCTGCCAGCCTCCTGGCCCCCCCGGCACCCCTACCTGCCATGTACCTGGTAAATCCCAACAAAAGCCTACAAAAGCCACTGAGGGCTCCTTTACCCCGTCTGCTGGATCAGAAAACCTGCTCCGTGGCCATTCCTGCCCCTACAGGGTGATGTTGGCATATGGTCCTCGGGGACCAGGAATGCTAAATGCTGTGCAATACCTCTCCCAGTCCCACACAACTGAAAGTTGTCCCATCCCAAATGTCAAAAGCACCCCCAAGATGAACACTATCTACTTCTAATGCCTCATTAGACAGATGAGATAATTGAGGCCCAGAGAAGGAAAGCGACTTGTCTAAGGCCACACAGCAAAAGTTTCGAGGCTACAATGCTGATGTCTTTACACCAGCCCCTGAGTATCCTCCCAACACCTGAAGGAGAACACCCTAAGCTCCAAGTGCAAAATCGCTTCTGGAATTCTAGAGGAAGGAGCCAATCCCATGTGCTCCTGGGGTGACAGGGTGGAGAACTCAAACTTGAAAACACCAGAGGTGAGTGCTGAAAGCAGATGAGCAAACAAAGATAAGAGAGACAGAGTTTCCTCCAGACAAATTCGCACCCTGCTCAGTTTAGACATTAAAATGAACTAACTTAATTTCATGCCATATGCAAATCCTTACCAGCTGTCAGCTCTGTAATCACAGGAGACTTAATGTAATAACTAAACAAGAACAAAAATGCAGCAAATACAGGCTCTGGGCAAGTCCATTGACAGCAGGTTTTGTGTTCCTGGGAACTCGGCAAGTGCAGAGCATTTACAGCGGACATCTGGAAGCCACGATGTGCCCAAGCTCCTGCCATCTCTTTCACAAAAATGCCGGCAGCAATAATAAATAATGGCTAAAGACTGATCCGAGCCCCCGTGGACTAAGAATCTCTCTCTCTCTAGACCCCACAGCTTCCCTCCAGTTGCTAAGGTTCAGCTCAGTCCAGCCAATTGGATAGAGAGCTCAGGAGAAGCCAAAAGATGTCCCAGACTCACTGCATTTGGGTCTCACCCCTACTTGGAACCAAAGGCTGGGAGGACAGCTGCTGAGAAACACGGAGGAGCAGCCGTCCAGTCCCAGGGCCCCGTGTTTCTCTGTCCAGACTAATAATCATCATAATAGCAAACATTTGTCAAAGACTCACATGGACCAGGAGCCAAGCACACCATCTCCTGCGAGTTCTTTTAACACTTCCCAAAGTGTGGAGGGTGACTGAGGGTTATTCATTCATTCCTTTATTCATTCAACAACCATTCATGAAGTACTTGTGATGTGCCAGGCACTGTGTTGGGGGAGCAGCAGTAAACAAAATACCCAAAAGTCCTTGGTCTTGTGAAGTTTAATTTCTAGTGGGATGAACATTTTTAAGAACAGTTACGATGTGTAGGGGGAAAAAAAGCCCTTTGAACATATAATGTCATTAAGGTTTTAGGGCAAAGCTTTATGTTTAAAAGTTGATTTAAAGAAAAATGTAACAATAAAACAGATGATTCACAAATGGGCAAAAAGTATGATGGGATATCTTTTCCCACACACCCCTGCTATAGGTATTACTGTTAATCCCATTTTATGGCAGGGGAAACTGAGCTCAGAGAGGTGAAGGCATTTGCCTGAGGGCACGCAGCTGGGACATGGTAGAGTTCAGATTTGAACTGGAGTCAGTCTTCAGAGCTGCTGTGTGAGCCAAGGCCATACATCAGATGGGCCATTTCATTCTAACACTCAGCTTCCAGTCACCAGCTACCAAAAGTCACTTTGTACGTGGCCTATTTGCCCTTGACAAAAATCCTGCCAAGAGTTAAGCAACTTTTGTTTGGTCCAATCTCAGGGTTAAGGAGGACTCGGGACAGCCTATTCAGATCTGTTTTGAAGTTCAGGGCCTAGACACTCACCAGCCTGATTCAGGGGCCAATGGAAACAGGGAACACCCCTGGTGACCCACAGCTACTTTCCTGGCCCCAATAGGACCCACCTCGGCTGTAGGGCTTATGACCATGTCTGCAACTGGATACTTCCCATCACCACTGGGATCATTCCCATTTCACAGATGAGAAAACAGGCAGGCTGAGAGAACCTGCCCAAGCCGTACAACTGCCCTGCAGCAGAGTGGGGTCTCCCGCCCCTGAAAGCCCAGCTCCAGAACCCAAGCTCTAAACCAGGGCCAGCAGACTTGCTCTTTTAAGGTGCCTTTGGATTTTGTGGGCCACCGCAATGGTTTAAAGCAGGAGTTGGCAACTACAACTTGTGGGCTGAATGCAGCCCAACACCTGTTTTTATAAATAAAGTTTTATTGAAAGACAGTCATACTCGCTTGCACTCTACAGGCACAGCAGAGTCAAGCAGCAGTCGAGGGCTCAAGAAGCAGAAATGCAGAGCAAAGCATCTACATGAAGTAAAAGAGGTGGGGTTTAAGTGGATCCCATAAAAAGATGGTTTTAATCCATGTGATGCTCCTGCTGCAGTGCCAGGAACCAGGTAAGAGTCCGATGATTGTCTCCCACACTCCAGCCTCCAAAAGGGGGTGTCATGGGAAGGGTGTCAAGCTGGTATGACATCTGGCCAGCTGTGCTTCAAAGGGGCCACTTCCCCCTCAATGGTCTCAGAGCAGGAAGGCTCAAGATAGAGCAGGAATGGTTATGGCCTCCAAGGAACCTGCTGCTTTCCTTCCATCTTGAACCTGTGGGCAAATTTGGCAACTGTGCACCAGGGCAATGAATTGCTCTCAAAGGAAACAGAGGCAGCATCTTCATTAGAGAAACTAATGAGCAGCTTAAGGAGGTAAAGAATAAAAATGCTGAAAGCAGTCAGGACAAAAGATCACAGATTGTATGATTCCACTTACAGGAAATGTCCAGAACAGAGAACTTTATGCAGATAGAAAATAGATTGTCAGGGGCTGAAGGAGAGAGTGGGGGAGGCATGGGGGATAGAATGGGAGGATGATAGAAATATTCTAAAATCGATTGTGGCCATGTGGATATACTAGAAACCTTTGACGTGTACGCTTTCAACAGTGTTATATACCAATCAAGCTGCTATTTAAAAATAAGTTGCCTCAGTTCTAAACATTTCTCTCATTCTCCTAAGATCTCCAAAGCCACCACCATCACTCTGATTAGGGTTGCACTCATTTTGCAATAATTTTTTTAAAGAGCATTTCTTCAACACCTGAAAAAGACCCTTTGATGTCTATCCAAAGCCCTCCCAGGAATTCTTATCATTTAAAAGAGAAATGTGTATTAAAAGCTTGGCTTTCTTAGCTAGGCAGGCACCTGTGTTAATTTCCTTGTCTCCATGTTACTATGGCAACAGAAAGCTTCCACTGAGAACTTGTGGGACACATCCAAACGGACTGCAATTGGGACACAGGATGGCCTGCAGTCCCTCTGCCCAGCAGGTCCCAGGTGCTGGTCACATAAAGGCTGCAGCCAGGGGTAGGCGGGAGTCAGTGAATAGAGAAGGGGAATGCAGGTGGTACCTCCTCCAGGTCTGCACTCCATGCTGCCCAAGTGGCCACAATGAGTCACCATTACCATTCAGAAAGAGAGGGTGTTAGTCACGTCTCCTAGAGACTGTCCTCTCCACCAGCATCCTCAGCACCTGAGCCAGTTTCCGTGTCAACACAGCCATATTTTTAGGTAGGAGTAGGAGTTTCCTGAGCCAATGAGAACAGGTTGGTCAAAAGGCTTTCATTAAACAGCTGCGGGAAAGGCAGTCAGCAACTGGGAACCACTGTTCTCACGGGGAAGTCTCAAGCCTGCAGAATCTGCCTCCTAGCAGGGGTCCTCATCTCCCTCCTGTGGGGCTGTTGGGCCAGAACCACAGGGAAAGAGGAGGGGCAGGCACAGGGGGAATAGCATAAGCAGATCCGTCCTTCTTTGTGAGCCTCCTGTAGCCCCCCCCCAGCCTGTACAAAAGTTGGTCTCTGTAGAGCTCAGCAGAAGACAGCTTTGGAAAAAGCCAGGCCATAAAAGACACTGTTCTTCTATCAACCATACTGGGGAAAGCCCGCCGCCATGTTGTGAGGACACTCAAGCAGCCCTGTGGAGCTGCCCACATGGACAGGAAGAGAAGCCCCTGACCACCAACCAGCACCAACTTGCAGGATGTGCGTGAGCCACCTTGTAAATGGGTCCCCAGTGCAGGCGACAGTAGCCTCACCCCACTGCGACCGCAGTCTTAAGAGCAGACCCTGAGTCGTAATAATCCAGCTAAGATGTTCCTGGATTCTTGATACACAAACTATGCAAATTGATAAATACTTATAGTCTTAGATTTGTGGCATGGCTCTCTCCTTGCCCTCTATCAACTCCAGTTTCCCCACCTAACAGCTAAAGTGTAACCTGTCAGCTCTGAAATCATAGGGTCTCATAGTGGTTAAAACCTTAAGGTTTTAGTCTGGAAGACCACTTGTGACCCTTGGCTCTGCCACTTGCTTGCTGTGTGACCTCAGGGTAATTACCTAACTTCTCTGAGTCTCAGCTTCACCTTCCATAAAGTGGGCTTAATGACACAGTTTTACTTTAATGGTTTCAGTTACCCTAGTCAAGGATGGTTCAAAAACATTCTGAACAATACACTATTTTGAGAGTCTACATTCACATAATCTTTAGAACAGTATATAATCATGCATTGCTTAACAATGGGTATACACTCTGACAAATGTGCCATTAGGCAATTTCATCTCTGTATGAACACAGCAATTACACAAACCTAGAAGGTCCAGCCTGCCACACCTAGACCCTGTGGAGGAATCACCGTGGTAAATGCAGACTGTGGTTGAACGATGGAAGGTTGTTGTGACTGTATTGTTACAACTGTTCATTTTATGACTATTGTTGTTAACCTCCTACTGTGCCTAATTTATAAGTTAAACTTTATCATAGGTAATGTGTACAAGAAAGAACATAGTATATATAGGCTTCAGTACTCTCCATGGTTTCAGACATCTGCTGGGGGCCCTGAATTCTATCTCCCCAAGGTTAAGGAGAAACTACTATATCTACTTCATGGCACTATTACCAAATTCCAGTAAAATAATATGAATCAATTACTTAGTATCCAGTAAGTACTTAACAAGCGTTAGTTACCACTCCCAAGAGTCAGATACCGTGGTAGGTACAATTATTACCATTATAGCTAAGATCCAGGAAGATCACAAAGGACTTTATTGGTCTGGAGCAGGCCCAGTTATGGGTTTGTTTTTTTAAAAAAGCTCCTCAGGTGATTCTTTTAGAAACTCTGCCCTAGAGAAACTTCTGCATGTGTGCCAAAAAAGCACACAGGAATTATACTGCAATACAGTTTTGTAACAGGGAAAGATTGGAAGTTATCCAAATGCCCATTAATGGGTACATGGGAAATAAATTATAAGTGGAGTAGCATGCAGTAATATAAAATGAATAACCTAGAACTTCTCTAAAGCATTGTGCTGAGACAAAAAACAACAACAAAAAAAAACACAGAAAGATGCATAGAACATTGTTATAAAGAAAATGACAGTCCCCAAATGAAGGTACTTGTCTTAAGCCCACCAAAATTTAATATCTAACCTAACTGTGATCCTCCCCTCTCAGGAATGTATTCTTAACTGATTAGTTAGACGTACATAGAAAAAAAACTAATATAATTGTGTATGGGTGATTTTTCTTCTTGTTTATTTGTGCCTTCTACTATATTTCTAACTATCCCATCTTGTTTTTTGGAAATAAAGTTATTGGTTATGTAACAAGAAAAAAGCAGTGATGTTTAAGTTTTTTGAGAAATGCATTTCTCAAATGACTTGCTCTAAAGATAATACTTATTTGCATGTCTGAGATCTAATTGGTGAAAATTAACTTGACCTGTATGGTATGAACAACATCCTGAGTCGGGCCTCCCTGGTGGAGCAAGGGGTTAAGACACAACCTATGAAGCTGTCCGCAGCCACTGCAGCATGAGTTCGATCCCCAGCCAAGGAGCAACCCACTTGGCACAGCAGATCTCTCCTGTCTCGCCCGCTACTCCCTTCAGCAGTGGATTTCCGTAGATTCACCTGTTCTGCTCCCTACCTTGTCACTGGTGAATCATTTCACCCCCTGCAGTTCTTCTATACAAAAATAAAATAAGAAGGAGATGAAGCAAGAATTGGGGGGAAGGGCCGCTGGATGTCCTCTTCTTCTGAAGCAACATGAAGTCAGGAGGAAAAAAAAAGTACCGAGGTGGGCTGGGAATTAGAGGAATCTGGGAGAGAGAATGGGTATGGTGTATTTTCTTCTAAATGAAGTGGAGTCATTCTGGAGCCTTCCCAATGCAATCTGGCCTTAAGTTGGGGAGTTTTGTGTTTCCTAAGCAAAAGAAGCTGCTTCTGCCAGCAAAAAAGTACTTGACTGCTGTTTCTTAAAGAGGCATAAGGTTGTTTTGTTTTGTTTTGCATAATGGACACATTTCCTGTGCAACCACTTTCAGGTTCTTTGTCAAGTGTCAAGGTACGCTTTTAGAAAACTTCTGCGTGGGCCACAGGGAGGCAATTTCCACCAAACACAGGATGGTTAAGATGGAGAAAGCCAACATTTGAATATCGCTTCAGGGACCATATTTTGTGCATTCAACACAACTGAATGCAGACAGCCTCCAGAAAGAAAATTGACTATAAACTCCTGACAAAGGAATTGATGGAGGGATGAGATGCCAGCTGAACTACTGCCCCCTGGTGTCCACAGACTGTGGTGCAATCATTTGCCAAGAGTCATTTGTGCTGGCCTCCTCCCATATTCCCTGCCTGTTCTCTGCAGACAGCTTCCAGAGACTAACAGGGATTACAACTTGGCAGCCCTTTGAAGGGAAGACAGGCCAACTGCTTAAAATCTGTATATTTTCCTTGAAAATCTAGGCCTGAATTTTCTTTTGAGAACTTGGAAAACCTGTCAATTTTTGAACTGTATCACAGCATAATAAATATAGGCTAGAGTTGAGAAGCTGCTGCCCACTTCAGACAAGGCAGGGGTTTCTCATATTCACCACATTCCACACCTCTCCCTATTGTCTCACACTCAGGTAGTTTTATTCATTAACAGTTCTTGTGTAGCACCTGGATTTGCTACCTGTGGCCAAAAGTCATTAAGGAGGTTACACTGAAATCCCAAGAAGGAGAGGAAAGAGGATAGTACCTTGAGAGAAAATTATTACATCACCAAATGTCTAAGAGGGACAGAGACCCACAAATTCTGATACCCTGCTCAGCAGGGTAAGTGACTTACTCCTAGTCACACAGTCAGGAAGCAGTGGGCCCTGCATTTGAACATACATCTGTCTGACCCCAGAGCTTTAGAGTTTTCCACCTCTCTCATGTGTCCGGAGCCGTCCGGAGTATGTGCCGTGTTGCATATGCGTGCCATGAGTTCGCTTTACCGTTTCGCCTTTGGAGAACCACAGGTTTTTCCTGTAAAGCACATGAGACTGGGAGGTATGGGGGGAGGAGCTACGAGGGTATAAGAGGAGAACGCGGGAGAGAGAGGGAGAAGAAGAAAAGAGATTTAAGAGGAGAACCACGAGAAAGGAGAGTTACTGCGAGAGGAGCAGAGAGAAGGCCAGGGAAGTAAGAAAGTCAGGGAAAAGGAAAACATGTAAAAGTAGGAAAAGGATAAAGGAAAAATAAAGAAGCAAACGCTAGCGTCAAGTTGTCAAGCCCCTCATTTCAATCCTCAGCCCTTCTCTTTCCGTGCCTCCGAATCCCGAGGGTCGGGACACTCATGATTAGCTGATAGTAGCCCTTCCTCAGGGGGGAGGTTTTAATAATGACATTACCACTTAGACAATCAAAAATGAAATTCAGGGGACTCTGAAAGAACAAGAATCAAAGTCTTTGTTCAAAAGATAGGAACAAGCAGTCCCAGAAATAACCACCATCCTGATTTTTGTTTCTTGAAAACTCCATGGTTTGTCCCACTTCAGCTATTTAATATTCAGATCAACAATACTTCTTGAGCATCTACTCCATGACACAGGTTGGGAGTTGGGGAAAAACAGGGGCTAGACAAGATATAAAAGGGCGCCCAACGGGCAAAAAGCTGTGTGGTCCCTCACCTCACATTGTTCCCCCGTGTTGTCCTTCATGATCACACATATCTCCCTGGACCTGGACACTTCATTTTGTGCTGTGGATCAGTAGCTTCCCTGGAATCTCACTGAAACCTGCAAAAGGACAAGGAAAGCAGAAAAGTCTTGGTGCAGGAATAATTGCAACATGGATGCTTATCAAGTGAATGCTCTCTGCCAAGATGTGTAGGATGTCACCTCACCCTACACAAAACCCTAGGAGGAGGTACTGTCATCATTGTCAGCCCCATTTTAGGAAAGCTGGGGATCAGGAAGATCAAGTGACTTGCTGAATGTAACTTAGTTTGCAGATGCAGAGCTTGGTTGGACAACCTGAACTTGGCTGGACAATCTGAGCTTGGCTGGACAACCACTGCCAGGCACTGGCTCCCAAGGGGAATGTGTGTCGTGGAGAAGGTGAAGTCCTGAAGTGATCAATTTTTTGCATATCCCAAACTAGAGGGCAAAGGAGAGGTAAGCTTTTTGTTCATTTTACAATGGGGAAACTGAGGCTTAGAATAACTTACCTAGGGTCATACAGCATAGGTGACAAAATCTGAATTTGAGCCCGGGTCTCTCTGACACCTTAAAGATGCTGCTGACATCTTAAAGCTTACCATTTCCGGGCACATCCTAGGTGCTGGGATTCAAAACTTGTGGACTAAGATGGAGGCTTCAGCGCTCAGCTTCAAGGGTTGACAATCTTCTCATAAGGACGACAAAATAACAGTCAGCCCCTTCTTAAGAGGATGAAAATGTAGGGCCTCCCCGGTGGCACAGTGGGTTGAGTGCAGCGTTGTGAAGGTGTCCGCAGCCTCTGCAGCGCAGGTTCGCTTCCCGGCCAGCCAGGGAGATACCCACATGGCGGGGCAGACCTCTCCTGCCTCGCCCGCTGCTCCCCTCAGCAGTGTATTTTAGTCAGTCTGCCTGTTCTGTTCCCCACTCTGCCTCTGGTGAATCCTCTCACCCTCCGGCGCCTCTGGCCTGTATCCCAGCTTTTGTATAAAAATAAATAAATCTAAAAAAAAAAAAGAGGATGAAAATGTAAAAGGGGGGGGGCTGGAATGCGAAAGAAGGAGAGAGAAAGTGTTAGGGGGAAAGGATGTCCTGAGCTAATCCCATACAGGCTTTGTGGACGCCACCCCCACTCCAGACCAAAGCCATCAGGACATTGGGAAAGACAAATCCCGTCACCCCCAAAGGGAAGGTGGCTGCCCTATAACGAAAGGACAGAGTGACCCCGCGGGGGCAAATGTGGAGGTTTGGAACTGGGGTGCGGGTAAGGGGCTGTGCAGTCAGATGAAGCGGCGGAGACGTGGAAGCCATCATAACCTCATCGCACGTCTAAGAAAACTGAGGCCCAGGACAGCGGCGCCGGGCCGAGTCGAGGGGACCCGAGGGAAGAGCGGCACGTTCCGGGGGGGGGCCCGACAGCGCCACAGGCCTCACCACACCGGCTTCTCCCGCCAGTCGCCCAGGCCCCGCCCCCCTCCGCCTATTGGCTGTTGCTGGCACGAGACCGTCCCCGGACCCAGCCAATGGGAGTGGCCCACGGCGCGTCTTTCCCGGGAAAGCAGACGCTGACGCGAGAACCCGGAAATGCGAGGGGCGGACGAGTTGGGGAAGCCAATCCGCGGAGACGAGGATGGCGGGCCGACCAATGGCGAGCCACGGGGGGCGGGGCTAGCCGGCCGGCGACCGCGGCGATCTGGGAGCCGGGGACCGGGAGCCTGCGGGTGCCGGGAGGCTGCGGGCGGCCCCGGCGCCGCGCGCGGTGAGAAGGGGCGAGCCCGCGGCCTCGGCGGGAGCCACCCCGGGTGGGTACGGCGGGACGGGGGCCAGGAGAGGGCCGGCTCCCCGAGCAACCTTAGACCGGTGCCGTCGCCTGTCTGGGCCTCAGTTTCCCCCTCCCTAGAGTGGGGTGAGTCGCGCCCCCGGAGCGCACCCCTTCCTGCCCCGCGACGCCGGCGAGCTCCGGGGCCCGGCCCCGGGACCCGCTCGGCCGTCGGCACGAAGCTGTCATCGCACCCGCCTCCGTGGCCCGCCGCGCCGAGGACCCTGTGAGGGAGAGGCCGAGCCCTGCCGTGCCCCCAGCTGGCGCCGGCAGAGACCTCGGGGCGCAGGCTGGGCCCCTCCAGGAGCCGCAGACCCTGCTTATGAGTGAGGCAGGGATTAAGACCGAGGCCCCCCGGACCCCGGCGCACTGGCCTTTTGTGGGCCTTCTGGAAACTGACTTCTCTGCTCCTTAGTGTCCCTCGTCTGAAATGGGAGCTGGGGGGAGCGTTCCGTGGTGAGGTGGTGAGGATTAGGAGAGATGAGGCTTGGCCAGCAGTCAGCTGGGTGCTCAGCACACCTCAGTTGCCCAATAAATGCTTATTATTATCAGCATAATGGCCTGCATCCCTGACCCCTCCTTTCCCCCGGCCACTCCCAAGTTCATGCCAGTGGGCACTGACAGACAGGCCAGTGGGTCACCGCCTCTCACCCAGAGCCTTACACACTTGTAATAGAATAGGCAGGACTCTGCAAGACATGCCAGGAAGAAAGGCCAGAATGGGGAACGGTGTTGTGGCTAGGAGGTGGCCACCCTGTGGCAATAATCCGAACTACCGAATAGCTGTGCTTACCAAAGGATGGGCCCCGGAACTACCTCGGCCAATCCAGATCTGTGTTATTTCCCAAACACCCAATGTGTAAGGTCAGAGGCCACAGATGTGTGAAGGGAGACCTAAGAGCTCACTGAGTGACTTTGGGCAAGGAACTTAACTGCTCTGGGCCTCCATTTCCTCATCTGGAGAATGGAGTGTGAAAGCATCAGCTCCTGGCGAAGATCACAAGAGAGGAGGTCCTTAACGCAGGACCTGGTACACAGCAAACACTCCATAAATGTTGGGCAGTAGTGGTGTTACTTCTTAGGGAGTCACACTACCCTACAGGCTGGCCTGTCCCCACTTACAGCCACTCCTTGTTATGCTCCCAGTGAATGAAGAGGCACGGGATCACCGTGCCCCGGCAGAAATCAGAAACCTATCCTGAATTACTCGATTCCCCTGCCTCATCTACAACTCTTGGTTCCTTGCAGATCACAGATCCTGCTCTCTCTTAGGTGACTGTGGATATGTGCAAGGGACTCGCCCAGAGTCCAGATGACACTCATGCCGATGGCTTCAGTGATGGCAGTGACCGAACCAAAATGGGTCTCAGTCTGTGGTCGTTTGCTATGGGCGGTGCTGCTGAGCGTGGTCCTGGGGTCCCTGCTGGCCATGCTGCTGCCGCTGGGGGCCATGGAGGATCAGTGTTTGGCCCTGCTCAAAGGCTTCTACCTGCTCAGGAGCAAGCTGGACAGGACGCAGCACACGGCCACCAAGTGCCCCAGCCCTTCCACAGAGCTCAGTCTCACCTCCAGGGATGCAGCACTGCTAGTGGTCAAGACCAAGGCCTCTGCTGGTAAGATGGATTGGCCATCTCTCCTCAGCACTTGTCAATTCCATAGGTTATTTAGAATTATGTCATGTGTGCAGGGCCCAGGGGTGTAGGTGAACAGGTCAGCCCTGAGCTCCCAGCCTAGACAAGCTAACAGGTGTCTGAACTATAGCCATCACCAGTGTAGTAGTAGAGAAGCAGAGTAGTAGAGGGGGCCACAGGAGCACACCAGGAAGGCTCCCTGAAGGAGGGGATGCCTGAGCTGAGACCTGAGAATAAGGAGTGATCCAAGGGAACATGAGGGGAGCGTGCTTTGTGGGACATCCTATGCATGGTAGGATGTTGAACATCCCTGGTCTCTACTTCTGGATGCCAGTAGTGCTGCACCCCCGTCTTCCCCTACCACATACACACATAGAACCAGCAGTTGTCTCCTGGGACAAAATCCCACACACATGCCTCCACCTAAATCACTAGGTTAAAAGAATTTAAGAAGAGCCCAGGGATGGGCCCCCAGACCCTTCCCTAGAGTGGAGGCCTAGCAGGAGCTGTGGCGCAGAGGAACTCAGCCACGCACTACAGAAGGCAGGGGCCAGGTGATGCCTCCCAGAGAATGACTCTGGGGACAGATGGACAGTGACCAGGACGCCAGCCCTCTGGGCTGTGGGGGACAGACTTGTCCATACATGTAGAGTGCTCCAGGGCACATGGCGGGGAGGTAAGCACAGGTGACAGCTCCCCTGAATGCCTTGGCCACTCCCCACCTTCCCTGACATGCTCCCTTGGCTCTCTTCTAGCTGGTAAGTTGGAAGCCAAAGCAGCTTTGAATCAAGCCCTGGAAATGAAGCGCCAGGGCAAGCGGGAGAAAGCCCACAAGCTCTTCCTGCACGCCCTCAAGATGGATCCGGGCTTCGTAGATGCGCTCAACGAGTTTGGCATCTTTTCGGAAGAAGACAAGGACATCATCCAGGCGGATTACTTATACACCAGGGCGCTGACCCTCTCGCCCTACCACGAGAAGGCGCTGGTCAACCGGGACCGGACGCTGCCGCTGGTGGAGGAGATCGACCAGAGGTACTTCAGCATCATCGACAGCAAAGTGAAGAAGGTCATGTCCATCCCCAAGGGCAACTCGGCGCTGCGCAGAGTCATGGAGGAAACGTACTACCATCACATCTACCACACCGTGGCGATCGAGGGCAACACCCTCACCCTCTCGGAAATCAGGCACATCCTGGAGACCCGCTATGCTGTCCCAGGGAAGAGCCTGGAAGAGCAGAATGAGGTCATCGGGATGCACGCTGCCATGAAGTACGTCAACACAACACTGGTCTCCCGCATTGGGTCCGTCACTATCAGTGACGTGTTGGAGATCCACAGGCGGGTGCTGGGGTACGTGGACCCGGTGGAGGCCGGCCGGTTCCGGACGACACACGTCCTTGTGGGCCACCACATCCCTCCCCACCCTCAAGAGGTGGAAAAGCAGATGCAGGAGTTCATACAGTGGCTCAACTCCGAGGACGCCATGAATCTGCACCCGGTGGAGTTTGCAGCCTTGGCCCATTATAAACTGGTTTACATCCACCCTTTCGTTGATGGCAATGGGAGGACCTCACGCCTGCTGATGAACCTCATCCTGATGCAGGCGGGCTACCCGCCCATCACCATCCGCAAGGAGCAGAGGTCCGAGTACTACCACGTACTGGAGGTCGCCAATGAAGGCGACGTGAGGCCATTCATCCGCTTCATTGCCAAGTGCACAGAGACCACCCTGGACACGCTGCTCTTTGCCACAGCAGAGTACCCAGTGGCGCTGCCAGAGGCCAAACCAAATCACTCTGGGTTCAAGGAGACACTGCCTCTGAAGCCCTGATCCTGTAAACCCCTCCTTGGTGAGAAGGGATGTTGGCAGGGGGAGGAAGGGGGTTAGGATCAGACTTAGCATTTCTAGAACGTCTCCCAAAGCAAAAGGAGGCAGATAAGGACCGTGAAACATTCTTTACCTCCAAATTTTTTTTAAAGGAAAAAACTAAATTATTAAGTTTTGTCTCTAAGATAACTTATAATTCAGCCAAGTTATTTATTTTCTTCTTTTGAGCTAGCAAATGTGTGGTGTCTGTTGTGTGTGCTGGTGGCCCCAATCTTGTGGCCCCAAAAGGTTTTGGGGGCACGGGTGCCCCTCGTGTGACCAGAACACAGGTTCTGGAGCAGAATTTGCACTAACGTGAGAGAGGCAGGAGCTGCGGGACGAGGTCCGGAGCCAGAGGATAACTCCTCCAAGTCTCTCTGAAACTGGCCCAAAAGGCTGTGACTTTACCTGGGAATTTACTCCTGGGGAGAAGCCAGCCCCAGTTTTGGGGAATGGTTGGAAGCTGTCTTAGAAGTTTTTGCTCCTTGGCACAGGCGACAGTGCTGGGACTAATTCTTACTGGTAGAGCAGACTTTTGAGATAAGAAATGACTGTTGAATGTTGATGGCACTTCTAGTCAGATAACCTTGCTTATTTCAAGAATTCTTGAGCCATAGTTAGTGTGCAAATCTAGTAGCAGAGGCTATTGTTTTCCAAATCTATTTTTCTAGTGAGGGATAAGGGAATGGCCGGCCTGGTTCTCCTGTGTATTGTTTCTCCCCCTTCATTTACAACAGCTCAGACCCGGTTTCAGTCTACAACTTGTCTGGGCTGATCTGCACCACCAGGCAGCAAACCAGGTGTCTTGCAAGTGGACTCACCTGCCCTTGCTCCCACTCCGAGTGTTTAACATGTCTCGGGAAGTGATGTTCAAGAACACACCTAACACTTTTGATAATGGATTAGCCAGCTTCTACTTTGACCACCTTTGGCCAAGGCATGTCCCTGCTGCCATGCAGTTTTACCTACTGTCTGACCAACCTGACCCCCTCCACAGCCAGTGTACCTGTGGACTGGCATCCCCTCAGGGAAGCAGAAGAGATGGCCCTGGAGTGGCCTTATTTTTCTAAAAGTGACTTGTAAAATGACCAAGTGTTGTAAGTCGTACAGCCAAGCTGTCATTCAATGGAAGCAGAATCTTCTCTTTCAATCACGTGTGGCACAAGTGCCAGCAAGACTGCTGCTACCGAGTCAGAATGGCCAAAATCACTGGGTTCCTTTCCCGGCACGGCCATGGTGTGGGCGCTGTCCTGCACCTCTCAGAGTACATATGACCTAGATGGAACGGTGTTGCCTCTGACTTGGGAATTCAGATCTAAGAGAACTGAGGTCAATGTTCTGATGTAGCCACTAGTTATTCAATTGTATAATCACATTCAGTTTTCTGGAAGATGAAGAAAAATAATGTATGGAATGGTCCCAAGTGATACTCAAAACCTTTCTAAGAGTATTTTCCTACTTGTATGCTGCCATTAAGGTATTAACTTGAACTCTGCTGTTTAGGTCTTGGTTTTATCAGTACACTGAGAAGCCTGACAGAAGTGCTTGCTTTGTACCATAGAAATTTGCACTTTAGTGACATGTGAAGGATACTAGTTTAACAATTACTGATTTTAATAAAGTATTTTATTACATAAAGGCCTGACTCTTTGCTGTCTTATTTAAGAGATATTCCCCATTTATCATAAGGAAAAGAAAGGATTCTCTCAGACCTTCAGCCCTATTTATATTGTTCTGGCAAAAGAACATTTCCAAGATGATAGAGGGGAAAACCTACAAGTATTAAAAGATTTAAGAGGTTTATCAACCAATCATAACTTTTGTGAGGAAAAATGGACATTTATGAAATTGGAAATCTAGATAAAGACACTGAGGTGCCACTGGAAATGGTTCTAGGAATAATGATACAATATGGCCTCTGTCCTCACCTCTGAGGGATACATGCTACATAGTACTGGGTGAGTGCTGTCTGGGGGTGTTGGGGGGAGGTCTTTCAATACAGCCAGGAAGGAGGCAAGGTTAGAGATGAAGGAAGACAGGCTGAGGGGAAGATGCTGATAGGAACACAGGGGTTTATTTTATTTTGTCTACTTTCTTAACTTTAAATTTCCCATTAACAATGCTGAGTGAAAAAATATAAAGCCTAACTGATGCATAATACTTAAAGAACAGAAAAGTGAACTAATTTCCATTACATATGAAAGGATTCAAGCCTCCCTGGCGGCCTAGGGGTTAAGTCTCAGCACTATCACTGCTACCGCTAAGTTCAGTCCCTGGCCAGGAAGCTGGACCCACATGACAAACAGCAGACCTCTCCTGTCTCACCTGCTGCTCCCCTCAGCAGTGTAATTTAGTAGATCCGCCTGTTCTGCTCTCCACTGTCTCTGGTGAATCCTTACACCCCCTGCACCCTATACCCCAGTTATACACAGGGGGAAAAAAAGAATTCCCTGATTTTATTTTCTACCCCCGGAGTACCTTTAAAGTCAATTTCCCTTGCTCAACTGGTGACAGTGCTTTCAAAGCATTAAGTATTTGGTAAAAGATGAGGGGTAAAAAACTTGAAAGCTAAAGTATCAAACTGCTGTAAACTGAAGCTTAAAAAAATTGAAGCTGCATCACAGCTGAAATGATTTAAATCCAGGACAACAGATGTTGACTTACAAAAGTTCTATTTACACATCTATTAGGTAAAGCAAGGTACACCCACCTCAAAATTCATCCATATTTGAATGTACATCTGAGTACCATGTGGCAAGAAATCTTTAAGAGAACCTCAGTTTCATAAACAAAGAGCTAAATGGGGAGAATTTAAATTTGCTCTTGGCATGGTATTTAAAGAAAACCGAAGGGCTGAAATGCAATGTTTCGACAAAGAACACAATCCACTAGTCACTAGGCAAAGAAAATGGTCCACAGCAGCTGGCGCACAGAATTCTCACACAAAACAAATGTCACAAACAGTTTGCTTTTAGGAAACATAAAACAGTGGGTTGACATGTCATTTACAAATACATAATATAAAAACGCACAGCCCCCTTGAACAAAAATCCATCAAATGTTTTATGTGTCTTCTGTTACCCCGCCCCCTCTTACCAAAATAGGCCATTCTGCTTAATTCCTAGCATCTGCCATTGTGTCTTTTAAACATTAAAAGAGTGGCGGGCACGTGTGCTGTGCAGGGTGTGGGAGAGGTGTCTTAGAAAAAGGGGCCAGAGCTGGCCGAAAACAACTGGACCAGTTTGGGTCCAAAAACTGTGTGTGCGAGCTTCACTTCTTTTTCTTACTCTTTAAAGACACAAAAATATCGCAGGAAACTACACCCTATGCCTGACCTGTAGAGTGATCCTTTTCCTCCTATTGCCCTCAATATGAGGGAGCTCTGAAGTTGCTTCACTCGGACAGCCTCTCCCTTTCTGCCTAAACCAGAGGAGGAACTGTGGAAGGGGGCGCGGCAGCGGGCCTTCCTCACCCAGGGTACAGTTGGGCACCCAATGGTCTTCGTGGCCAGCATGACGTAAGGCATTTCCCGACTCTCAGAGTCCTGTTCACTTTCTCAGAAGCAACTTGGCAAAATCTGCATTGGACATCTTGGGTGCCTCAGTGGCCGCTGAGGCGGTGACTGCGGGCCGTGGGCCAGGGCCATTCTCAGCCTGAGGAGCCGCAGTGGCCGGGCGTTGCAGGGCACGTGGCAGCAGAGAAAGCTGGGTCCTTCCCTTGCCCCGCCTGTAAGAGCAAACACAGAATGTACTCTCTCAAAGCGACAACTCCCAGCCCCTGGTTGGTCTGTGAAAATTAGCCACGGCAGTCTTAAACTGCCTAGGTAACAGGTAAAAAAGAAAACTCAAGAAGGGCAAGAAGAGCCCTGTCTCTTTGACTCTAGTTTTAAGGTAAAAATCACTTTAACAAACTTTTTCACAATTTTGGCAAGGGCCAAGCTGTGTGACAGTCATGAATAACCTGGCCATTCTGCAGATTCGGGCTATGGGCGGAGGGGGTCCTAGCTTCTCTGTTACTACAGAGAGAATGTAGCTGGCCAGGGTGGGGCTATCAGGTTTTGAATCTACACACATGGACTCAAATGGCAAAGAAAGGGGGCTTTAAAATAGTCACTGCCTTGGGCCTCCCCTGGTGGCACAGCGGTTGAGCGATGGGCTGCGAGGCTGTTAGCAGCCTCTACCGCGCCAGTTCGATCCCCGGCCTCCAGCGAGGGTCCCACATGGCACGCAGACCCCTCCTGCCGCACCCGCTGCTCCCCTTAGCAGTGTATTTCATCAGTCTGCCTGTTCTGTTCCCCACTCTGGTGAATCCTCTCGCCCTCCTACGCTTCTGACTGTGCCCAGTGCTTGTATAAATAAATAAATCTTAAAAAAAAAAAAATCACTGCCTTGAAATTTTTTAAACCTTAAACAAACCATGATCACAAGTTGGCATACACCAGGAAGAGTTCTGCTTCTGGCCTGCTGCAGACACCCAGCTGGCAGCTGGTCGGGAGCATCCCCAGTGGCACGGGCTTTCTGACTACCTCACTGAACCAACAGGAAATGGATTCATGGTGCAGCCGTGTCTGCACTGGTCAGCATGAAAACACTTACGCTCCGTATATCTGTCGTGGCATCATGGGGCCACCTGGTGTTCTCCTTGCCTCTGGCTTCTCTGGAACTTTCCTCTGAGGGGGATTACTAATGGCCACTTTGATGACGTTCTCTTTGATGGTCATGCCGTCCATCTTCATGACAGCCTGGGAAGCCTGGGACTCATTCTCGTACTCCACATAAGCCAGACCCTGAGAGGCAAAATCCAGAGCAGGGTCAGGTGCTGCAGAGTCAGGACACGCTTCCTCGCTCAGGCCCGGAGGCCAGTACAGGGCAGTCACCCAGCACGGGGCGGCCTTCCCCACAGCCACCATCCTTGGTCTTGGTTTGTTTCCCTACGCTACTACTCTCTGTCTCTGCAAACGACCGTCATTCAGGTAACCTTTTTAAGTTCAATATATCTTGTGCTTACTTGGGAGAGAGGGAAGGAATTTACACACAGACCAGTATAAAACTGGCGAACTGATCAGGTCTGGACATAGGGTAAGCAACCCAGGCAAGCCCTGTCTGCCTCCAGACAGGGGAGAAAGGGCAAGGGAAGTAATCCAAACTCGTGCTGACACCACCACTCAACATGCAGTGCATTTATTTCCCAAGAGCCGCAGGGTGTGGGGAGGACACAGAAACAGGCACTCGGGTGGAGGGAGCTGAAATGGTTAGAAGCCTAGTGGCTCCCTTCTGGCAAAGGCAGAAGACTTCGGGGGGACACCTCACTCCAGGTCCCACAGCCCATGGTCCACACTGTAGCCCCCTACTAATCCACTATAGTTCCCCACCAAATGTTTTATTCCTTTTAGTACAGTAGCTACAGATGAATCTGGCTCTGAGTGCAAGTAGTGTCACGTTACCTATCTTTACATCCACTTATCCTTTGTTTCTTAGCAGACAAACTAGGAACCTATCTGGAACCAGACAAACTCTAAACAAATGTGGAGCTGGGCTGGCCAGAGGCACGGGTGGCGAGGTGCCACCAGCTCAGATGCTGACCTTCGGTTTGCCAGCCCGGTTGGTCACCAGCCTGATGTCCTTCACGGTGCCGTGAGCCTTACAGATCTCTTCTAGTTCCTCTTTGGTGCAGGAAAAGGGCAGACCCGAGACAAACAGCTTGTGTTTCTCCAGGGCAGTGCTGTACCTGAACACCTATGGCAAGAAGGGAGGGAGGAGATCAGGACTTGAGGCCCACCAGCTCTCTACAGGCCCTGTCCCAGCCAGAGCCAGGGCTGGATGCTGCGAATTATTCACTGGGAAGCCTCGCTGTCTGCTCTGTAAAAATAGCACAAAAGAGGGCAGCCATTCTGTTTGGACAACGCTCCAATGAGGCGACAGGGAAACACTTCGCTCGACACCTGGTCACAGCCAAGCATTCAAGAGAAAGAGCCCTTCAGACCACTGCTGACTTTATTACCATTTGTCAACGGATGCAAAAGGGACTGTGCGTCAGACCTCAAACCAGCTAGACCAGACCCCAGTTAATGTGGAAACTTAGCTCTGAACAGAGTACAGAAATTGCCCTGACATTATAAATGCTAGTTGCTGCAGGAAAAAAGTGGCAGCACCCTGAAAGGCATTTTTTTCCACAAACATACCTTAAAATCGGGATTTTTGCTCTTATCCACACAGGGGGAAACAAACATCGGTCGCCCTTCTACATTCTTCCGATCCAACTGCAGCGCCTGTAGGGCCGACTTCTCTTCTTTAAACTCCACATAGCAGTAGCCTCGGAAATCGCCGCGGTTACTGAAGATGGGGCGGACCTGGACCACCTCCCCACAGGCCTCAAAGAGTGGCCGTAGCTTCGCTTCCGGCTCCCCCATGCTGTAGGGCAGGTTGCTGACGAAGACGGTGATGCTGTCCTTACTGCTGTCATGGAGCACCTTGGGCAGGTCCCTCTTCAGGGCGGCTGCCTTCTCCTTCTGCTTTGAAGGGGAGTCGGCATCTACGGGGGCACTTTTCCCAAAGAGTCCAGTTTCCGCTTCTAGGTCTTGTGCTTCTCCAGCTGCAGAAACGCTGTTCTCAAGCCTTCTGCGTTTGGGAGGCTGTTCTAGAGGTTGTCAGGAAGAAAGTAGCAGGATTAGCTGTTTCTTCTCTCCCCCACCTCACCAGCTGCGCCACAACAGCTGACACCTGCCCACCTCTCCACACTCAGAGGGGTGCACACCACACCCTCCATCCTGATCCACCCATTTTTCTTGCTGCTTTGTAGGCCCCGATTACATCTGGGTCAGTGGACTCCATCAAGGGCAACTGATAACACAAGTGCTCATCGTCCACTCTGAATTATATAAAAGGTCAATTCCAGGGCCCTCTCCAAGAAGCCCAGAGCAGCAAGGGAAAAGGTGCTGGGGACCTGCATTTAATAAAGCACCTGTAATGAAGCTGCAGTGTGTGCTGCACTTAGAACATGTTATAGAGTCTACAGTTCTAAGACATTCACCACTGTCTTATGTGAGCCAAGAGATAAACCCCAATATTCTACTCCAACTCACTCTCACCACTGCCACCGGAGCATCGGTACTGAAAAACAACTGGCAGTGACCCTCACTTCCAGACTTCTCCATCAATTGTCCATTGCCTTTCCGATGAAGTCTTAAAGTCCCACATGCGGCACTCAAATGAGCTGGGCACGGCCAGCTGGTCAGCCCCATGCTCCAGCCTCACCCACTTGCCACACAGAGTGGTTACCCAGCTGCTCGGAGAACATACCAGTCGGTTTTGTTTCTCACATTTTGCTGACATGGCTGCTCCTTCCCTCTGTATCCCTGACAGTCACTCACTCCCCATGCAGCGTTCCAAGGTGCGCTCACCCTACCCCATGAAGTCTTTCTTGCTGAGGCTGATCCACTAGAGACCTCCTCTCTGGCCTCTCCCATGATTCACATCAATATCCTCCACCCTCTTTACATGTCACATCTGCCCAACCCTCTAGACCAAGGGCCCTAAAGGGCAGTGAGCTACTCACAGTTATTTCTAAGGCCCCCAAAGATGCCCAAGAAAAGTCCCCTAACAATGGCTCAGTCACCATTTACCTCTGGCTGACAGTTTCAATGTCTAGAAATAATTCTTTAACTTCACTAAAATCAATCTGACCCACACTTGCCCACACCTAAAATCACAGGGGTGATGGAAACACTGGCTGGAAAATTCTATCAAGTCGAAACCACTAGGCAGTGGAGTATGGCAGGCAGGCAGGCAGGTAGCCATGCAAAGGACAGGGGGCAGGAGGTGGCAGCCTCAGCCAGAGTGGGATCGAGGGGGTGTGCAGGGGTATGGCAGCCGAGGGCTGAGGGGCACACACAGAAGGGCCATGGTGGCAACGGCACTGTGTGGGGGGTGGAGCCAGGTGGACAGGTAAGGGTGCTGATACAGGGTAGTGCCAAGGGTGCTGGGGCCCTCAGCACGGCAGGGAGGAAGGCGTGTGAGGAACCAGGGACAAGAGCATGTCTGGGTCTCACGCTGGCAACCACTGGCAAGAGGAAAAGTGCTCTGTGCTACTTGCATCTTCCCTAGAAGGGGGAGCTGGCCCTAAACAAACTGCTGGAAGCTCTACCTCCTTCGTCATCGCCCCACTCTTTCTCATCTTCCTCCTCTGCTTCCCGTTTGTCGGCTCCCCTGGCCTTTTTCTTCTTTTTTAACGCTTTCTTCTCAGCCCGGTTCCTCTTCCATTGTTCAGCCTTTTCTTCCTCTTGCTGGGCAAGGGCTGCTTCCTTCTCTGCGGCCTGGAAAATCAGGAACATGATCCCTGGATGCAGCAGCCACATTAACTGTACTGATGTTGAGGAGTGAGGCAGCAGGAGAGGGGGTGGAATTCGCTACCCGGTGAGGACGAGGAGGACATGTTCATAGCTTCTCCCTGCCAGAGCTTTTTCAGGTTTCTAAAGATGCTAGGTCTGAAGTCTACGTTACGTGTCACAGTATCCCCCATACTTACTCACCAAAAAAGGGGGGAAATTTATAAATCTGGGACAAGAATTAATTACAGGTGCTCATGTTCCAATCACTAGGTTGAGTCTCCTCTTTATTGTTTTTCCTCTAGTCTGGTAAGCTTTAGGGTACAAATTCCCTCACTACCTAGAACATTTACTGTTGGGGATAAAGCTCTAAGCCAATCTGAAAAACATACACAAGTCAGGTTTAAATATTGATTCAAGTTTCACAATTAACACTGAGTAAAAGACACTTCCTTAGAAGACCTCAAAGGTTTTGACAAATCTTCATACCCAAAACAGTCAAAATAGTGCTCAGAAGTTCTGAAGACTTTAAATAAACAGCATGATTACCTTTATTCTCTGCTCGTTAACACGAGCTAGCCGGGTTTCAGTTTTCTGGACAGCTATGTCCCAGTCTTCTAAAGTTCCTTGAGAGAAAGAGAAACAAATGTTCACCTCCTAGATTTCTGAAGGATACACCATAGAACTCTTAACTTCCCCACACCCCCTGAGGAGCTCTCTCCCATCAGATGTTAGGTACTGGAGCGTCAGCTCCCCATTTTCAGAAGCTCCAGAGTGCAGGCCTGAGGCCTCAGGACACACACAGTGCTTCCAGATGTGCTTAAAAGGTCGTTTATAAGAATCATTCTTTTAGAAAAGACTTTCAAACCAAAATAAGGCCTATGGGCGTTCCACGTAACAGACTCAAGGCAAAAGCAGAAGTCAAGTGTCTCCACCTTCTGTCCGCTCCATGGTGAGCAACACTTCACAGACGTGCTCTGGGTAGTCACTGGTGCACTGGACGGCCCGGTGCAGAGCCTTCCTGCAGTGCTGGGTGTCGCCGTGTGCCCTGGGTCAGAAAACAAAGTCACCACCACCAGGAGCAAAGCAGAAGGCACATGAGAAGGGGCAGTGTGTTCACAGGTAGTGCCAGAGGACTGGAAGCTCTGAAAGGGCTCTAGCTTCCAGAACAATCCACGGCTATTTGTACTATCACTACATTTGATTTTTTCCCTTTCCTTTATTCTTAAGAGTACCGACAGTCAAAAACTGAGGCTTTCTTCTAAACCAGTCTTCCCCCTAGTAGGTAGGTGCTCCTGGAATATGCACCTGGACAGTGGTTCTGCCTTTACTGCACTCGCATGTGCAGTGCATATGGGGGATCCGAGAGCTGTCTGTGACCTGACAAGCCTCCAGAGAAACTCTCCGATGCAGTCCTACTCAAGGCGAGTCATGAATCCAGGGGACTGTCAAGTTTCATGCTTACAATCAGACCTTTTGTAACAATATGGAAAGATATACTGTGCTAATCACGATAGTTATAAAACAATCTTCTGCTTATCATGACAGTCAGGAAACACTGTATTCTCTTTTGTTTAAAAAATATATTCAGGGGCCTCCCCGGTGGCACAGCGGTTGAGCGCTGGGTTGCAAAGCTACCCGCAGCCTCTGCAGCGCCGGTTCAATCCCCAGCCACTGGATGAGGGTCCCACATGGGCGCAGACCTCTCCTGCCGCCCGCTGCTCCCCTCAGCAGTGTACTTCATCAGTCTGCCTGCTCTGCTCTCCCCTCTGGCTCTGGTAAATTCTCTCACCCTCCCGCGCTTCTAACTATACCCAGTGCTTGCATAAATAAATAAATCTAAAAAAAGAAAAAAAAAGGCATTCTCTTAAAAAAAAGTTAAAAAATATGTTCAAATATACATAAATGTTGTAAATTCCTAGTAAGGCACTAGAAAAATTTTAGAGCAGTGGCTCTCAAAGTATGACCCAAGTACCTCTGAGGGTCTCTGAGACCCCTTTGCAGTGGGGAAAAACTAAGGATATTTACTAAAAATACAAAACCATGTGATTTTTCTCAATATTTTAGAGTTTGAAAATAATTATTTTTCATGAAAACGTTACTTACACTAAATGTAAATACTTTTTAGTGAATTTTTAAAATTTTTCTTTTTTAGTTTCAGTTTCTAAAATGGTAAATATTGATATAAATCATGTAAACAATAGTTCTCTGGGATTTTCAAATTTTAAGCATGTGACAGGGTCCTGAGACCAAAACATCTGAGAACCACTGATCTAGAGGAATATTCTTCCAGATGACTCTGAGGGGCAGGAATACAAGGAACTTTTATTTTCTATCACCTTCTTCATAAGCCCCACAACTCTTCTCATTAGAGCATGCATTATTTTTTAAATGGGGGAAAAAACAAAATATTCAAAACAGAAAAAAAGATAATGTAGAAATACATATTGTGTAATACTCAAGATATATTTGTAAAAAGCTAGTCATTCTTTTGGAGGCAGGTCATACTCTTTCTATCTTTCTCCATGTTATACTCATCAGCGAGCTTATCTTATTTAAAATAAACTTCGAAGTTTATAACCTGTATACTGTAACTGCATTTACAGTTTTTAAAAAAGTTAAGTATAGAAAAGTGCCAAATAATATACTCAAATCATTCACTAACAGGAGTTATGTCGAGATCTGTGACGGCAGATAACTTGGGTTTTTTTTCCTTGAACTGTTTAGTATTTTCTACTATTATGTACAAAGCACATATAACAACAAATAAATAGCTCTCAAATAAAAATTTATGTCCAAAAATCAAAGCCAACAGACCAAAATAACAAATGAAAGAAAGGCTGGCTGTCAGAGCAGCCCAGGCACAGAATCCTGTGTCTGGGAATCTAAGCCTGTCTAACTGCTAAGGGAGGGTGAAGGAGGAGCCCTCCACGGCAGGCTCAGCCAGGACTGTAGAAGCGTTACCCCTGATGAGCACCACCTCCCCTTCCCAGGAGGGTTACCTCTCCAAGTTGTAATACTCAAGCCACATGTTGGCAAACTTGGCGTTTCCTTTGGTCATGATGTTATCCCAGAGTTCCCGAGCTTTCTGCATATTATTGCACAGTCGAGCCTGAAATAAGCCAGCAGGCTTAGTTAGGAAGGGACACAAACCTTATGACATTGACACCCCTTACAAAACATGATTCAAACAGACATGCCTATACAGCCCCCCACGACTGTCCACATTCCATGATATACCCTCGGACCGCCTTCCAGTGGTAACAATTCCATCCTAATCATTCAGCTTCTCTGCAGCAACAAGTCTCAAGTGATCAGTCTGTCTAGACCTCTTGAAAGCAAAGAGCAGGAGACAGGCACACTTCTGACAGGCCTGGCTAGTTGGTTTTTTGTTTGTTTGTGTTTTTAATCAAGCTTAACCCCAAGTGTTTCGCTGAGAGGCAACGCCGAGACAGGCTAATAGCAGACAATGCCAGCTCTCCCACTGACTAAGGGACTTGGGCAATTATTAAACCTTGATATTCAGCTGCCTCATCTTTAAAAGGGTTACAACACAAACATTCCATCTAAAAACTGATAAATGTTAGTGTCTTTGACTGACCTCTCCTCAGAGCATAAAGCATGATTAGAATTTCATAATTGTATGAGCTGATCAAGGACAGGTCCCAAGTCCTACTGAGCTTGGGGTTCCTGGTCAAGTAGTAGCACCCAACTCATCATCCCCTCTGATTACATGTCAAGCAGCCTGTCTTCCACACTAGACTAAAGCCTGACAAGCGCAGCAGCCATGTCTATCTCATTCCCCAGCACCCAATAAAGTTTTAAGCTAATAGGACACCCTGGGTCACTCTCACAAACATGGCAACAGTGTGTGGGGTCAGAGTGGAGGCAGAGAGGAGTGAATGTCTGGCATTCAGATGTTTGCTACACAACTTCTAGCCGGGAGCTAATATTTTCATTAAGCAATAAAGAAATATCTAGCCAGGGATACAACATGAATCCTTACAGAGCAGACCATGACGCTCAGCCAACTGTTAGACAAAGGTCCTTCAAGGAGGGTGGATGAAACTGATGTATTTGTCAAAAACATTTACCTCAATCCTAGCCCAGTTCTGCATGATCATGCAGCTTGGATCTCCACTCTCGCTGAAACCTTAAAGAACAGAATTAGTTAAAATTAGATAGTAATTTAGAGACAAATAACCTCTGACTGAAAAGGTACATAGGCTGGAGCCACACTTACGCTCTTCCACTTCCTGTTTCAGATAATCCAAAGCACGAGTAAACGCAGACCTCAACTCTTCCAGCTCTTTACTGGAGTCTGTTAGAAATTGCAAAAAGGGTTTGGTTTTGGTTTGTGAAACCACCTAGCATGTTTTTAGTTTTTTTTTTAAATCCTACATCAAAATTCCTGGGAGTCTTTCATACTCCAGGCACAATCCTAGGGACAGAGAAATTAAACAGCCAATCCCTACTCTCATCACACAGTGGCAGAGAAAGGCACAGAACACAGCAGACAGACCGAGGACAAATGTGCGCACAGGGAGTGTGTGGGGGAATCAGAGCAGAGAGGGGTCTTCCCAGGCTGGGAGAATGGCTACAGGCTACCTGCATGAGCCAACACTGCCGTGAGTACACCCAAGTGAGTTAGAGATATTTCTGGTTGATATTTGGGAGGGTGGGGGTGAGATAGGCAAGATCATAAAGAAGCTCAAAGATTGAAAGGAAACACTGCAACCTTACTTAAAGGACTATTGAGCAGATAAAAGGGAAAGAAGAAATGAGAAGACTGAAAGGCCGGCAGGAACCAGCACACAACATAAGGATCGTTACCCACTTCCTTTATAATCAATAGCATGATTTAAAGATTTAATTAGCTAAAATTTCTGGGGGGTAAAGGTTACCCAAGTTACCCATGTCTGGTGTTTTTCATGTGCCCAATCAGCATGTATATGGGCAACTGGGACAATTCACCAAAAAATCTGCTAAGAAAAACCTCAGTTCTGAGGTGAAACACATGAACTTAAATACCTTGTTTGAAATCAACCCTTCTTCTCAGGTAGTCAAGGTAAGCCTGCCAAATCTCCACATAATCAGTGGCCTGAATGAAGCCAGCACTCAGAGCTTTCTCAAACGTCACTAGAATTGGGAAAAAAAAAAAAGGAATTTGTTGCCAATTCAAAAAGAAGCTATTATAAAAACCTCTGCTGACTCTAAAACACTGTAGTAAGCCTTTAAAAATTAGTAAAAGGAGGGCCTCCCTGGTGGCGCAGCGCTATCAAGCTACTGCCAACCACTAGAGCAAGAGTTCGATCCCTGGCCAGGGAGCAACCCACATGGCGCAGCAGATCTCTCCTGTCTCGCCAACTGCTCCCCTCAGCAGTGTATTTCAGTACATCTGCCTGTTCTGCTCCCCATTCTGTCTCTGGTGAATTTTCTCAACACCCACACCTCTGGCTTATACCCCAGTTCTTATAAGCATAAATAAAAATCTTTAAAAAAAAATTAGTAAAAGGATACCACAGGATGAAAGGCTCTAGAGAAAAATGCTCAGGATGAAAGGCTCTAGACAAAAATGCTCAAAAGAAACTGCCACAGCATCATACAAACTGTTCCAGAAAGGGCCAATTCCACAAGATGCTCAGCTTTAAGAGGCCTAGGCCAGGCAAGTTTGGAAAAAAGACCATGACTTCTTAGACAATTAAAATGAACCTTAATATGTCAAAAAGCTCTAAGAAGTCAAAAATCCAACCTATGTATCTCCAACACAGTCTGTTCTCTTACTAATCCTCAATATCCAAAAAACACCCTGCGAATTCTGATTGAATGATTAGGTCAAAAAGCTTAGAATTCTCCCCACAAAACACCGCACCAGAAATCACTCGATGCTCAATTCCGTGTCTTTCCATGGCCAAGAGGTACCGACTCCACAGCGCCACAGTCCAGGGGCAGTTCCGAACTGCACGGCTATGTACAGATAAAACCAAATCCTTTACTTTCAGCTGCCGATCCTGTGGTAAAGAAATCCAGGATTAAGAATTAACACTTTATTGTAAAGCTTCACTTTCCACTAGACACATTCAGCACAATTGATAAGAGAAATTTCCTTTAAAATGTCTCTTGCGGGCCTCCCCGGTGGCACAGCGGTTGAGCACTGGGTTGCGAAGCTGCCCGCAGCCTCTGCAGCACTGGTTTGATCCCCGGCTGCTCCCCGGCCACTGGAGGAGGGTCCTGCATGGCGCACAGACCTCTCCTACTGCCCACTGCTCCCCTCAGCAGTGTACTTCGGTCCTTCTGCCTGCTCTGCTCCCCGCTCTGGCTCTGGTGAATTCTCTCACCCTCCCGCGCTTCTGACTGTACCCACTGCTTATATAAATAAATAAATAAATAAATAAATAAATAAATCTTTAAAAAAATAAAATAAAACAAAATAAAATAAAATGTCTCTTGCAATGTTGGTTTCCTCAACAAAGAACTCCCAACAGGGAGCGGGAGAGAAGAGAGGTAAAAGAGGGCAAACCTTAGAAGCCACAGAAGACTTAGAAGACATCAGTCAAGGTATGGCTCTTTTGACTCCTGATTCAAGCCTTTTATACACACATATTGAAAGATTTACCAATAGAATGTGATTGCAGGACTTGCTTTACAACACCACCAAAGGGGCAGTAGGTGAGGATACAGACTCGCCCACACTAGTACCATTAGGTGTTGCAGCTGCGTGCTATGTGAGGTCTCCTTTTGCTAGTCTGTCTACATTCGTGTGTTCACACATTTTTCTCTGAGTAGCTAACAGAAAAAAAAATGAATGTAGTAGAAAAAACATGTCATGCTGGGGGCCTCCCTGATGGCGCAGTGGTTAAAGACACAGCACTACCAAGCTATGGCCAGCCACTGCAGCTCAAGTTCGATCCTCGGCCAGGGAGGTGACTCAAATGGCACAGCAGACCTCTCCTGTCTCACTGGCTGCTCCCCTCAGTGTATTTCAGTAGATCTGCCTGTTCTGCTCCCCACTCTCTCTGGCACCTCTGGCCTGTGCCCCAGTTCTTGTATGCATAAATAAATAAATAAATCTTTTTTTTTTAAAGTCATGCTAACTTCCTCAATAGTGAAACTATTAGCAATTTTTTTTTTTTTTACAGTGATCAGTTTAAAAAATTTCAAAACACTGGGAGAACTTTCTGAATGAGCCAGCAATGAGGGGAAAGGGAGGATGAAAGGGAAGAAAGCACAGCGAAGGGCTGCACGCAACTAACGCCGGCTTGCTTACTGATTTTCTTTCGATGTATTCTAAACTGGTGAAAACAAAATGAAATTAGAACAAGTGAGTGATCTTACAAGGTACTGACTGTAACGGATCCACAAGTCTGGGACAAGGCAGTTCTCCACCAAGGCGCGCTCAAAGATCAACTGGATGCGAGCAGGATCGCCGACTTTCATCTCGAAGTCGATGTAAGCTTGGTATTCTGCCAGCCTGGGGGCCTCCGCTTTTAACTGCGGCAAAGGAAAAATGCACTGAAGTTGATGTCAGCAACCTGCTACCTCAGGAAGCATCAACCCATCCTCAGATAAAGTAAGACGTGGCAAGACTGGCTGCACTCAGATAAGCACCACCAAGCCCCACTATGTGAACCTCTGTGTGTTCGGGGGCGACCCTTTGGTGGGGAGAATGTATCTTCCCGTCTGGTCCCAAGTGCCTCTTCACTTTTAGCCCTTTTCTAAATCCACTCCTAGAGGACAGAAGTTCACATCTCCCATCCATCGGGAACAGAAAGACAGGAAACACCTTTGCCACTGACCACTGTCAGCCAGCTGTCCAAAACGCAAGTCATTTTCCCGGCCCACTGAGTGGAAGGGAGGGAACCACTGGAGTAATTCAGTGCCTGGTGCTATTTCAAGTTTCTCATTCCAAATATCAGTGCCTGTCAAAGTTCAGGGAGACGAAGATGGAAGAGACTTTGCTGAATGCTTATTAAGCTGAAAATCAGTTCTTTCTAGACACTTTCGTTCAATTTGTTTGCTCTGCAGTCACACTGCTGATTGTACCACAAAACTAAGCCAACTGAAGATTTCATTAACGGGGCTGTATGAAACACAAATATTGACATGTGGAAAGAAAGGGGAGAGAGAGTGCAGGCCAGCATGACTGCACACGCTCTGTATAGAGAATGACGTTTTTGCGCCGCCATTTCTAGTAATTACAATAAATTATTTACCCAGTTATTGAAAAGAACTGAAGCACTGGATTAAATATATAAACATCTTAAATTCATCAACAAACTGGCAAACAAAGAAAATACTAGGGACAAAATCTAGGTGAAGGCAGTTAGCAAGTTAAGTGAAGGTTAAGTTTTTGCAAGCTAAAGGTATATTAAGAATTTGATCTTCACCTATTTGATCTTCAGATAACACCTCTGAGGCAGGTATTATTACTATTCCTCCTTACATTTAAGGCAACTGAAATACTGAGGAGGTTAAGTGCCAGTTCAAAATCAGAGAGTAGATGGCAGAGCTGGAATTCTACCTGAAGCAGCCTGGATCTCACAGTCTCACTATGCCACGCTTGTGCTGTGTTCAGTTACTACGCCAGGAAAGGTTCCAAAACCAGAGCCAAGAAGCCCAGTGAATCTCAAGCCAAACAGAATATATGCCCATCTGGACCCACTGAAATGAAACTACTGGACACTGAACCAAAACAGTGAGATCTTAAAGTCAACCAGAAAAGAAAAAAAAAATTAACTTTCAAAGACGCAAGAGTTAGACGGACAGCTAAGTTGGCACCAGCAACAATAGTAGCCAGAAGATACAAGTGTCAAAATCTAGAGTCTATATCCTGAGAAACTAACTTTTGAGACTAAAGACATTTTTCAAAGACTGAAGATCTGTTCCCAGCAAATGTCCAGAGCAGGAGACGCTGAAGGGTAGACATCCAACAAAAGAAAACTGATCCTAAGTGAAAGACCTAGGATGCAAGGAGGAAGGAAAAGCAAAGAAAGAGAGACGTGCATGTAGTAATGTAAACAACCTGCAGCAGTGTGACACACAATTAATGCCCTGGGAGTCAAAAAAAGAAAAAAAGAGAGAGTTTATGTGTGAGGTATGGGAAATAAAATAGTATTCTAAGGCCAAGAAAGGGAAAGAAAATGTCACAACCATTATCGTCAACACAGTTTTATTGTCAACACAGAAATTCAAAAGAATAATAATTTAGCAAGTTTGATAGATTAAAAGTAAGAAGGAATGAAAACCATTTAGTTGAGGAGGAAAATCAAAGTGTGAACAAGTAAGTGAGAACTACAGGTGGTCTCAGATTATCCCCAGTTAAATAAAAAACTTGCCCAACCTATGTAGAGAACACTGTGAGCTCAGGGATTTTGGATTCGGTTTATAATTCATATAATTGTCTTTAACTTGGTTTTAAAATAATGAAAGGGGGCTCCCTGGTGGCGCAAGGGGTTAAGCACCATGAAGCAATCTGCAGCCTCTGTAGCACGAGTCTGATCCCCAGATGGCCAGAAAGAAACCCACATGGCGCAGCAGACCTCTCCTGTCTTGCCCGCTGCTCCCCTGAGCATCGTATTTCAGTCAGTCTGCCTGTTCTGTTCCCCGCTCTGTCTCTGGTGAATCCTCTCACCACCACCACCACCGCCGCATCTCTGGCCTGTATCCCACCTCTTGTATACATAAATAAATCTTTAAAAAAATTGCAAAAAGATACTATTTTTAAAAAAAAATAAAAATAATGAAAAATATAGATATAAAAATAAATTACATTTTATTAACCAGAAAAGAAAATCTTTAAAAGAATACCATTTATAAGAACATCAAGCATCAGTTAGAAATACAAAAAATACTGACAAATATGTCCATGTCACCAGATAAATTTATAAATTTAAAAAACTGTATAAAAAGATAAGACCTTAATAGCACAGACCTGTACCATGTTCATAGATTGGAAGATTTGATGTTTAAAAGAATTTTCCTACATTGATTAACAGACAATGCAATTACAATAAAAAACTCTAGCTTTTTTATTTTTTATTTATTTATATATATTTTAAAGATTTATTTATTTATACAAGAGCTGGGGTACAGGCCAGAGTCGCAGGAGGGTGAGAGGATTCACCAGAGTCAGAGCAGGGAGCAGAACGCAGACAGACCAAAAGCACTGTTGAGGGGAGCAGGGAGTGAGGCAGGAGAGGTCCGCTGCACCATGTGGGAATCTCCCTGGCCAGCCAGGAATCAAATCCGCACTGCAGAGGCTGTGGACAGCTTCATAGTGCAGTGCTCAATCCGCTGCGCCACCAGGGCAGCCAAAAAAAATTCTAGTTTTTTTAAAAAAGAACCTGAAAAGCTGATCTAAATTCAATGACAGTATTAAGAGCTAAAGAAAGCCAGGACCCTAGTGAAGAGGAACAAGGTGGATGAGACTCAGACTACCTAAAATCAAAACATATAAAATCATTGTCACTCTGATGGCCTCATATAAGCCAGTAGGGCCGAGCAGAACTGCAGGTGAATGCAGAGCAGATAGATGGCAGACGCAGACCACACAGCAGTGAGGGGAGAACAGGTCATCAAAGTCAGTGCCAGAACTACTGGAAAAAGGAGCCTGGACCCTCTCTCACACCACAACATCAAAGCCAATTCTGTATGGAGATCTAAATATGAAATACAAAACTATAAACTTTCTAAAGCAAACACAGCTAGGTATGTTGACTTGGGTGATGGAGAGAATTTTGAAGCATAACAAAAAGCACAAACCATAAGAGAAAGAATGATAAACCCAAACAGATTTATAATTTAGAAATATTCACCACAAGGTGCTATTTTAAAAAAAGTGAAGAGGGCCACCCTGGTGGCGCAAGGGGTTAAGCAATGCACTATGAAGCAATTCGTAGCCTCTACAGCACGAGTTCGATCCCCGGCCAGCCAGGGAGCAGCCCACATGGCGCAGCAGACCTCTTCTGACTTGCATGTTGCTCCCCTCAGCAGTGTATTTCAGTCAGTCTGCCTGTTCTGTTCCCCATTCTGTCTCTGATGAATCCTCTCACCCCCCACATCTCTGGCCTGTACCCCAGCTCTTGTATGCATAAATAAATAAATCTTAAAAAAAAAAAGAAGTAAAGAAACAAGTCACCAACAAGGGGCAAGGGTTGTAAGACATAAAATAAGAACTAATACCAAAAATAAGGATTAAGATGATCCAGGACTCCCACAAATGAATTAGGAGGGAAAAAATGATACACCAAAAGAAAAATGAGTCACAAAAAAGGAAACCAGAATGATGTGAAAAGATGCTCAATTTCATTAGGAATCAGAAAAATGCAAATTAAAATTAGAATTTCAGACTCATCAGAAATACAGGTATGTCAATATCCCAAATTGGAAAGAAAAATGAGAAAACCTCAAGTTCTGTTACTGGGTGTAAATGAGTAACCTGCAACAGCTCAGCATTACCCTGTGATCCAGCGATCCCAACAGTTATGTGCTTAAAGAAATTCTTCGTGTGTACAGGAGACACAATGGCCAGAGCAAAGCTGCTCATCCTAGCAAAAAACTGGAAACGATCCAATTATCTAAGAACGTGGGTTAACAAATCATGATAACAACTCTATGGCACTGATAACAGAGGGGCTGTAACTGTATGTATCAACACGAGTAAAATCCAAAACAAATTGAATGAAAGAAAATACATCATGATTCAATTACATAAAACTTCAAAAACAAACAAAATTAAACAATATATTAAGGATACGTTCAAAGATATAAAACTATAAAGAAAAGCAAGGGAATGATTATCACGAAAGTCAGGAAAGTGATTACCTCTCGGGAGAGGGAGGAGGAGGCAATCGGACAGGGGCACATAGGAGACGTCTAAGGAAGGTACTGGCAATGCGCTATTTCTTAACCTGGGTGGTGGGTACATGATGTTCACTTTATTATTAGTATGTAAACTGTATGTATACATTTATACACTCTATAAATCTCAAAACAAGACATAATTTAAAGACATTGTTTCACTTTCAACTACTAATCAGGGAAAAATTGGTAGAAAAGTTTACTAGGAAAGAAGCTAACACTTACCAGTGACTCTTCATAGGGCTTGTATTTCTCCAACTGCTGTAGTGCTTTGTTATAGTTCTGAATTACTGACTCTGGTATAGGGTCTTCTGACCATTCTTCATACTCTGCAAATGTGGCCTCCATATCTATTGAAAGATGCATTTAGACCCATGGGTCTTGCCACTGGGTTTTATCAACTTGAACACAGATCGACCCATGAAACTCGGGCCACCAGTCCCTCCCACATCTGTGACCCAGTAGCTCTTACTGGTCGAATCCTGAGCTCTTACGCTGAGCTACAACTTGGCCTTAGACTCTGTCTCAAGCATGGTTCCAGGCAACCCTACTAACTAATTAAGTAGTTAATGAAACTAACATCAACCCCAACAACACTCTCCAAGGGCTTCCCATGGCTTAGCATTTCACATCTATTAACTCTTTCTGACCCTCACTACCCACTCTCATGAGGCGGGTGTATAATTTTTCTATAGTTTTGCAGAGCAAGGCTTTGAACCCAGGCTCAAGTGCACGTTCTACTCACTGTGCTATGCTGCCTCATGCTGGGCATGAGAAGGAATCTACAAACCAGCTCAGCTCTAACCTTGTCTGCATGTCACCCAAATATTCAACTGGAGAGTCATTTTATAATTTGTTAAACTGAACGCCAATAATCTATGAAATAAAAAGGGAAAGAGCATCCAGGCTCAGGTAAAGCTGCCCACAGGATCTGAGGGTGTGCAATGCATAACAAGCTAGATGGCAGCGCCAGACTCTTCCCAAACCCTTAGAAAAACTGCCAGTGTGCTCAGGCTTGCGCTCCAGAGCCTCATGAGCATGTCCTGCCAAAACATCCACCCAAAGGAGAATCCTTGCCAAATCCCATCTGAATATTTCCAATCAATGGTACCCCCAAAGCCAATCACTCCACCAAAGAATGATATAAGCACATGTGAAATGCCCACTCTTAGGTAAGAGGTCACTCCTGAAGAGATAATGGTTAAAATATATAAAGGGTCAGCCTCCCTATTCCTTTTAGAGACCTTGTCTACATGAGCGAGCTCAACCTGAAGTCAGGAAGCCTGGTGTCCAGTCCATCCCTGACTCTCATAACCATCTCGAGCATGAATAATTCAAGATAAGCTTTCCCTGGGGCCTCAAGGTGGTCATATCTGCCTCACAGGATGTTGGGAAAGTCCTAGTTACATGACATACCCTCACACATTTCAAAAACCATGAAGGGCTGGCTGCTGACACATCAGTTTCTCTTACCATAGAGTGGGATCGCCAGCTGTCGCCGGAACAGACTGTGGACTTTTTCAAGCTGTGAATCAAAGGTTTGTTCCCGGTCAGAAGGGGAAAGGAAGTCAGCTACAGGCTAAAGAAGCAAATCCGTAGTAAATGACAAACTTTGATTTTTCCTACCTCAAAAATTATTTCAACAATTTTTTAGTTCCAACTGAAAAAATGTGTGACTTTTTAAACATGAAGTATTGTGCCAAATGCTGGAATAGGTTCAAAACTAAATGTTATCTCTGCTTCTGCTTATGATAGGGAGAAAACAAGAAGGAATATAAGCAACAGAGCCAACTGATGATAATAAGGCCAGAAGCCAGGTATCACAGTATCAGGTGTTGGCGCTGAGATTTATGGTTATAAGGGAGGAAATCAGGAGACTCCTGGAGGAGCTGGCTTTTGGGATGCGCCTGCAGGCTCCCCAGGGCCAGTGAGAAAAGGAAATTGATGCCCAGTTGAAGGACCGGCCTAAGTAAAAGAGTTCAGAAAGTGCAAGAACATTGAGGGAACACGGGAGTAGCATCCATGCAGGGGTGAAGACTGATTCAAGACAGAGCCACACGCCAGGGGCACCAGAGTTAGCCTGATGCCTCAGTCAGGTTAAGATTTTTCAACAGGGACTTGGGCTACTTCCCAAGGGACAGGGCCACTTCCTCTCACAGGGCTCCGCGATGGACCAACAATTACTTGTGCACACACAGAAAAGCAAAGTGCAGAGGTGACACTGAGAGGGAGATGCTGTATGAGTTATGGCTTAAATTCTATAAATCAACCCAAAAATGCAATTATGGGGGGCATCAGATGATCTCTCACAGTCACAAAACAGAATTTTTTCTCTTGAAGTGGCATGGTTATTCCTGTACATTCTTGAGAGCGTCATCAACAAGCAACTCAATGCACCTGTACACCCCGATACTACCCACAGGTCCATGTAACCAAAGCAGTAGTATTTTCAAGTAGCACAAAGAAAGGACAGCATCACCTGCCTTTCAGTCAAAATCATTCTTGCCATTCCACAAAGACTACTGATTTTATTTGTTTAACTGCCCAGCCAGCCAGGGATCTATTTGGCTAAGACCATTAACTGTTCTCCCGGACCATCGACAAAAACCATCCTGACTGTTCAAGGGCAAGGTTGTGGGGCCAGAGGCACTCACCCGGGCAGCTTCCACGATCGCACTCTCAAACTCCCGGTAAGCCTCCCAGATGGCCAGTCCTTTGGTCATGTGCAAGCCGACAGACGAGAGGGCCCTTTCAAACACAGAGCGAACTTTTTCAAGGCCACCTTTCTGACCAATCCCACCGACTGAGTACTGGCCATATTCGAGCCAAATGTTAGGACCTACAAATGAGAAGAGTTATTCTATTAGTTCAGGACAGGAAATAACCAAACATCAAAACTGATGCATCACAGAAGGAATGTGCACATCCAGCGAGGACGCATTCATTCGTAAAGATGAGAGCATCATCAACAAGCAACTCAATGTACCTGTACACCCCAATATTGCCTACAGGCCTAACACTGGGGGGGGGGGGGGGAAAGGTACCTTGAGCAACATTCCTAAGTGTGATCACTGAGCCTTACTGCACAGTGTGTGTCACGTGGTAATATGTAACAGAAGCATGAGAATAAAGCTCATTAAACCTGAAAGGATCCCAGCAATGGATTTCAATGGAAATAGCCACAAATCTCACGCAGCCTTAAGGAAGACTAAAATTCAAAGCCTAGAGTTTTTTTATTTTTGAACCTTGGTTCACTTTTAAGCCTTCTGGTCAAAGTGATCAAAATTAAAAGCACCAATCTTGTTCCTAAAAATCTATTTTTAACGGGCCTCCCTGGTAGCGCAAGGGGTTAAGACGCAATCTATGAAGCTCACCTCAGCCACTGCAGCACGAGTTCCATCCCCGGCCAGGGAGGTGACCCACATGGCACAGCAGACCTCTCCTGACTTGCCCGCTGCTCCCCTCAGCCATGTGTTTCAGTCAGTTTGCCTGTTCTGCTCCCTACTCTGTCTCTGGTGAATCCTCTCAACCCCCAAAACTCTGGCCTGTACCCTGCTTCTTGTATGTATAAATACATAAATCTTTTAAATATGAAAAATAAATCTATTTTAACAATACCTATGCAAAAGGAAATCAGACTTGGCTGTCTTGTTTTACTTTCTTTTTAAGCTTCTCACATATTCCTATAGCTTTAAGATCAGATTAACAGGTTAAACTCTTCAGGAATGCAATCGGGTCTTACTGTGCACATTTTCCCTTTCAAGTCCCTTTTCAGAGATCTGAACATTTCAGAAGCCTATATACTAACTTTGCAAAATAAAAATACCAAAATGATAAAGAAGTAAATTTAAGAATTACTATATGTTTTCCTGACATTTGCTTTTTCACTGAAAAATCCATTTCAAATAAAGTCTGTTAGCTACTGTTTCTCTCACCAATTAGCTGCCATATGGGCAGCCAAGTAAAAGATGAGCTAGCTTTTAAAGCTGAAGCCCTTTTGAGAGTCAAGTTTGCAGATATCTAGGAAACTGCTCCTCCAAAGAGAAGAGACTTTTCAATCCATCACATCATTGGCATGGCTCTTCCCAACACTCAAACTAGAGTTAAAATCTCAGAGTATTTTAAACTCAGCAAATCCAAGCATGCAGAGACCATAACTACAAGAGGCAAACAAAAGAATGTGTCAGTAGACACCTGGGTTCCAAAAGAAGCACAAAGCCTCTAGATGTGGCTCCTCCAAAAACCCAGGAGCAAAAGGGACATAGCTACATTCTACTAGAAACCCAGTAAACACCCCCAGATATCACTACCGAGCACAGGCTGAGAAATAAAGGCGGTCCATGGGTTGTCTCTTCAAATATGCAAAGCAAAGCAAAACTGAGAAGCAGACAAGAGGTTTTTAACAGTCAAAACAAGCAGGGACCATTTGCCCACACTGAACTCCTAAAAACAATCCAAGAGCTCCTCAGGTCTTCATCCAGAACTAATGACGAGGCCTAATCTAAACGCAGTTATCTGGTTTCCTTACCACGGTAGCTTGGAGGGGGAAAGGGAAGCATCAGCACTGAGCCTGGCAGCAGGCTAGAAGCCTGAAGGCGGGAGCAGCTGGAAACCATAATAGACCAAAAAAGCAGTGTGAGGAGGGACAAAGCATTCTCAGAGAAAGCAAGTATGTGTTGGTAACTTGGGGACATGAGGGAAGGGTGACAGGGTCATCAGAGAACACGGGCCATCATGTGTCTGGAAAGAAGAGGCCACATGCAGAGGCACAATCCAGCTTTTAAAATCACTTTAATTATATTACTTTATATTAAGAAACACCTATTACTCTCATTATTCAGGTTTTATAAAAATCTGGTCAATTTTTCTTGGCTAGTTAAAAGACATAGACAGTACTCTCCCTTGAGGCAATATATCTTCTAAGACTTGCTGCATCTCACAAGGGGAAAGTCCCACAATGGGGAAGGAGGAAAATCAAATTGGGAAGAAGGAAGTTTAATTCAAGGGGAGTGGGAGGGAATGTCACATCCCCAGTGTATGTAGAAAAGGCATTTGGAAGATGGGAGCACAAACAGGAGAGAGGAAAAGGACCAGAAAGGAGGTAAGGCAGGTACACTTCACTTGCGCTGGTCACATGGCACCACCAGCAAGAGAGCTCTGTGGGGGGGAGGGTTCTGTATCTTGACTGCAGTGGTGACCAGTGAACCTCCATGTGGGATAAAATGTCAGAGAGGATGGAGACGATGGAGACGATGTCACCCAACTCTATTTGATAAAATTGATTGTAGTATACACTTACAATGGATGTGTTTTTACAAAATATAAATTGTACTTTAATAAAGTGATTATAAATTTTAAAAAAAATCACAGAGCCATACACACAGACGGAACCAAATTTCCTGGCTTTGATTTTGTGATCTCATATCTCAGAAAACTGGATGACATGAGTACAAAGGACTTCTCTGTGCTATTTTTGCCATTTTCTTTAAAGCTATATTTATTTCAAAATAAAAATGTTTTTCCTAAGATTTTTAATATTTAAAACAAAGCATACTGAAAACCCCTTCACTGTGTGGTAACCATTAGTCACCTCAAGTGGTAAAATCATGTAAGCTCCCCCTGGCGGGAGAGAGTTGCCGGGTGAGAGTTGTCAATTCCCTCTCTATAAATACTTCTACTTTTATTTTAAAAGCAAATACCCTCAACTGAAGATCCCAGACAAGAAGAATGAGTGAACTCCAGTTCAGAGACTGACGATGTTAAGCACCCGTTCCAGCCACCCCAGCACAGCCCTCGGGGAACTTACAGATGTAATCCTTCACGGCCTTCTCAAAGAGGTCGTACACATGCTCTCGGTCCAGGCCGTCCAGGGCCATGCTGATCTCGTCGTGCAGCCACTCCAGCCAGAGCTCTACAAGACAACAGCACCTCCCGCATTACCACTGCCCTCACCACAACATGCGTTAGCATTTCCTCCATCTTACACACTGGGCACAACTCCCAGAATGCAATTCTGCAAACCCGCACCAAGTACACAGAAGGTCTTATGCTTCCAACAAAGATCAAATCACCAAAATCGTAATAGCCTACACCCCTTGGGCATTTTATATTTTTGCAAGGTAGTTTCATAGATAATTTTCTCATTTGATCTTTGGGAAGATCCTGCAGGTAACAGTACCCTTACAACAAAGGCAACTCTGTAAGCATTACATTGCTTCAGTATCTCACAAGAATGCCTCATGCAACCCAGGCACTACCAGGCAAAAGCTCCTATTATTCCCACTTTTACTGCTGGGAAAACTGAGTCTTAGGATGTTTACATCATTTGCTTAAGGTCTCACAGGGAGTAAGACAGAAAAGAATGAATCTGGTTTCAGCTTCCATAGCCAGCAGGTGTGCTGGAGTGAGAGGGGAACAGAATTGGCTCCAGGACTAGTGTTTTCCGACTCCTCATCAAAACCTCAATTATTAATTCCTGAAAATTTAATTGCAAAGATACTCAATGCAATTATGTGCCAAGTAAGTAGAAATAACTTAAATGTTCAACTACTGTAGAATAAATGAGGTATGAAACATTTACAGTAAACATTGCTTCTAAGGACCTCCCTGGTGGCTCAGGGGTTAAGTCTCAGTGCTATCAAGCTATCACCAGCCACGACGGCCTGCATGTGTTCAATCCCTGGCCAGGGAACTACCCACATGACACAGCAGACCTCTCCTGTCTAGCCCACTGCCCCTCTCAGCAGTGTATTTCAGTAGATCCACCTGTTCTGCTCCCCACTCTGTCAATAGTGAATCCTTTCACCAGACCCTCCCTCCACTCGCACCTCTGGCCTATATCCCAGTTCTTCTATGAATAAATAAGAAATATATCTTAAAAAAAAATGCTTGTAAAAGCTTACTTATAATACATTAACAACTAGTTATAAGAGAACTGGTTAAATACATAAATATTAAAAAGGGAAAGAGAGAGAGAATAGGGATAGAAGTTTAATTACCTCGAAAGATTTTATCATAATGTTAAAATAAGGAAATCAGGATTCAAAATGTGAATCAGTGCTGCGTGATCGCAGCTGCATTTTCATAAACACCATACAACGATAAAAAACAGTCGACTCTGGATGATTTTCTTTTGCCCACTCTATGTTCCACATTCCTTCTAAGGCACGTAGCCCACTTTCAGCAATGAAAAGAACACACGCTCTCCACATGTCTGGCTTACACATGCATTACCTTCCGTCAAAGGGAAGATCTCACTCATTTTCTGACGGGCCATCCTCACTTTGGTGAGCTCCCCTTCCAGCCGCAGCAGCCTGATCAGGTCCACGTGGCAGTTGTAGTCATAGACGTTGATAGACAGCTGAAAGGAAAAGTGAAGCTGAAATTAAGATGCCATCATCAAATAACTTCATTTTTGTCACCGATGGCGACAACCCACAATTGCTTCGGACAAAATAAATGTGTTATGGGGGAGTCACTGAAAAACCAGCACTGACCCTTAGGGGGAAGACAAGTCAATGACAGAGGCCTTTTACAATAAGTAAAAGGATGAGAAAAGTATACCATGTAAACATTAATCCCCCAAAGCAGAAGTGGTTACAGCAGTACCTCAAAAAGTAGGCTTCAGAACAAAGAAAATACCAGACACAAAAGGGAAGATTACGGAATGATGAAAGGATTAACCTACCGGGAAGATTAAACAATCCTAAATGTGTATGTACCAAATAACAGCATCTCAGAATAAGTGAATCAAAATCTGATAAAGAAACAGACACATCCACAATTGCGCTGGAGGCCTCAACTCCCCCCACTTCAGAAGCAGGTAGTTCTTCTATTAGATACAATCAGGAAGGAGAAAAGAGCTCACCACCAACCGCCAAGGTGCTCTAACTGACATATACAGGTCACGCAACAATAATGAATATACATGCCTTTTGTCTAGTGTCCATGGAACATACATTAAGACCATTAAACAGGCCTCCCCGGTGGCGCAGCGGTTGAGCGCTGGGCTATGAAGCTACCCGCAGCCTCTGCAGCGCCAGTTTGATCCCCGGACGCCGGGCGAGGGTCCCACTGGTGCGCAGACCTCTCCTGCCGCCCGCTGCTCCCCTCGGCAGTGTACTTCGGTCCTTCTGCCAGCTCTGCTCCCCGCTCTGGCTCTGGTGAATTCTCTCACCCTCCCGCGCTTCTGACTGTACCCAGTGCTTGTATAAATAAATAATAAATAAATCTTAAAAAAAAAAAAAAAAAAAGACCATTAAACAAACCTCAACAAACTGAAAAGAAATACAGAATATGTCTTCTGACCTTCTGACCACATGGAATCAAACCAGAAATCTGTAACAGTAGAAAAATCTGAGTTAAACGCAAAGAAAATTTTGAAAATCACAGAAATGAATAAAAATGTAGAAAAAGAATTATATGCCATGACTAAATAGGACTCCAAGCACGCGTGTTCAATCTCTGAAAGCCAACCACTGTAACCCACTACATCAACAGGCTAAAGGACAAAAATGATGATTAGCAATTGTACAGAAAATGGTTTTGTCAAAATCCAACAACTGCTCATGGCAAAAAAGTGTCAGCAAGTTAGGACCCGATCAGAGTCAAAACCTTCTGTTCTGTAAAAAGACTCTGTTAAGAGAATGCAAAGACAAGCTACAAACTGGAAAAATTATTTGCAAACCACATATCTAAGAAAGGACTCACATCTAAAAGATTTAATTCCAAACTTAATAGTAAAAAATAAAACAATTAGAAAATGGGTAAAAAAAAACAAGCCAACATGTATATCCAAATAGATGCATACCCATTCACATATTTACTGATGGCAAATAAGGGACATCATATTCAGTATCATAAGTCACTGCAGAAATGCAAGCTAAAACCACAATGAGGGCCTCCCTGGTGGCCTAGGGGTTAAGTCTCAGCACTATCACCCCTATGGCCTGAGCTCGATCCCCCACCAGGGAGCAGACCCACATGGCTTAGCAGACCTCTCCTGTCTCACCCGCTGCTCCCCTCAGCAGTGTATTTCAATGAATCCACCTGTTCTGCTCCCACTGTCTCTGGTGAATCCTTCCACCTCCCCCTCCCGCACCCCACACACACACCTCTGGCCTACACCCCAGTTCTTGTATGCATAAGCAAATAAATCTTAAAAAAAATAAATAAATGAGACATTTCCAATGTCTCATGAGCACTAAGAAACAAGTGCGTATGTGGGTCTACTCTGGTCTCTGAACAAATTAACAAAAGATGCTCTAGAGAGATCTGTGAAATGTTTTCCTAAGCCCCTCACTCCAGGACCTGGAGCTGGAGGTGAGTGGAGACAGCAAGGAGGCCTGGTGGAAAGAATGCAACTGGTACAGCCATGGGAAAGGAGAGTGGAACAGGCCCTTTCGCATAGCACCTACTGAGTGCAAAACTGCCAGGAGCTTTCTGCACATAGTGTCACTTTAGCTTCACACAGGCCTATGAGGGAGGATTATTACAACCTTCATTTTATCAAATGGGACGCCAGGCTCAGAGAGCTGAAATAACTGTCCAAGGTCTTTCTACCACTGAGTAAAGGGTGTGAGCTCACACACAACTCTGTACTGCACCATGCTGCCAGGGCAGCTAGGGCCCCAGGAGGTACCACGAACAGTGTCAGTGCATTAACACAAATAATGGAAAAATCTTTGCTTTTGCTACACAGACAGAGAAAACAGAATTCTGAGATTCCTTAAAATACACTCAAGGATGAGAACTAGAATTCACAAATCTGGGAAAGCCAAGTTATTCACAGGCCTATGAGGAAGTCATTCATCATTATGTTCCACCACATAGCAATTACAGCACGAACTAGAGACTGTGGGATTAGGATGAGACAAGAGGGAGGTTTGGAAAAGTCCCATTTTCAAAACCCCAGAAAATGGGAGATAAAGTCAGAGGTTCTTTGGGTTCTTCAATTCACCATCACCTGCCAGGTCCCATCCTGGGCCAGTCTCAGAGACCTGAGGCAGGGCAGACAAAGCGCAGAGCACCTGTACCGGAGATGCCTCTGCCCTGGCCTCCTCCCTAGTAAGCTGTGTACCCACACCACTAAAATAAATGATTCTATTTCCACCACATCACAGAAGAGTAAGACTCAGTAAGCCAATGGCTACTCGAAAGGCCCAAGGCCAGAAGTCTGAAAGATAGGCAAGAAGTCCTCCCAAAAGGACGGGCACACAGTCAGCCTGGCACCTCCTGTCATGCCGCATTTGCTCGATGAATACAAGACTGAACACCAGCATACTTACCTATAACACCTGCCATGTCCAACTGGATCCTTTGAGAATCAGATGTGATGAACGGGACAAGGTACATCTATGGATGATATCACAACCTCACAACTTAAAAATATCACTGCCAGAGAGAACATTACAAGGAAACTCACACCCAGCAAGGTGATGTGGGTAACCTAGATTAACTACTTCACATCACTGAGTGATTTCACATCCCGTGTGGTCCAAAGACAACCTTGAAAAGTTCAAATGAATGACTATGAGCAAATCCTTCAATCATATGTTCTAAGCCCACTTCCTCATCTGTAAAATGAGAATGTGATCAATCCCTTCCATGAGGCGCCCCCATGTCTCTCTCCCTTCCAGGAGGTTTGCCCAGCAGAAGACACCAACAGATATCTGGAGAGAGGAAGAGAGGGAGGCCAGGGTATTTCCCCCAATCCCAATCCCTTGTGGGAAACTGGGCTGAACCCTTTCAACCAAAGGTTTCAAATCTTCTCATACAACTATTCAGGTAACAGGTCACTCCCCTCACCCCTTCAGGTCTAAGGGTGGACACAAGGTCCAGCAGTTACTAGTCCGAGGATATTAAATCTTTGCTCCTGATTTCCCAGCCCACACCCTTACAAGCAGGCAGTACCTTTATTGCCTTTATTGATCTTTTCTCAAATGATCCTAATTTCAAAGTGCCACCTATTCCTGCTGAACCCCTGAATGACACAGGAGTTAGAGATCACCTTACTCCTTAGGGGGGCAGGCACTGAGCTGGAAGGCGAGAATCACAAGTTAAGAAATTAATCCAAGCACACACAGGTGTGGAAACGCTAGAACTGGAGCCTTAGCCACTGGCCGCTGAAATCTCTCTCTTTTCATTTCTGTTATTGTCGACAGGGTCCGTACTTTCTCTACCACGCCACATTTTATCGTCATCCTTCCCACGGGAAAAATAACTGACAATTAAGACTGTATCCTTACTACTGACATAGTTTAAAGCCCTGGCTAAGAATGGAAGTTCTGCAGTTGGTTCAAAGTTCAAGGCCCAAATCGCCACCAGGAAATGTAATCTTAGGGCGGGGGGGACTTCCCTCCACTAGGAGACCCAGTAACCTCCCGTAAAACACTATTTCCTTCCCTGCCTCGTTGGGAGAGCTCGGGGAGACCAGGCTGGCAAAGCCCGGAGCCAGCAGTAAGCGCATCAATAGGAGCTGCGGTGGCTGATAGCGGTTTTGCCGTCTTGGCGGCTTTATTACCGCCAAGGGCCGGGGAGAACGGGCTGGACCTGGGGCGCACGGGAAAGAGCCAACGCCCCGGCGCACCTGCTCCTCCAGACGCTCGATCTCCAGCTGGTTCTTCTCCTCCTCCTCGTCGTACTCCCATTCGTACTCCCCGGGAGAGCTCTCCGCCGAGGAAGCCATGGCGTACTCATCTCCGTCGCTCTCACTCACGCCTTCCTCCTGCTGGTCCCACGCTGACCCCATGGTCTTGTACGTCGCAGAGGCCACGGCCCGAGATAACACCTTCCTCCTCGTTCTAGCTGCCTTCATCTCATCCTCCTCTCCCTCAGCCTTGGGCGCAGCCTTCGGCTCAGCCTCTGGTTCCGAAGCCGATGCAGCGGCCGCAGTCGCCATCTTGCACTTGCAGCGACTCTCGGGTCTTCACTGGGCCTCCGAAGACCGGCCGAGGTAGAGGCTGCCCGCGGCGCGCGCCTGACCAAAACCCCCCCACACCTGCCTCCTAAAGAACCCGTGAGCCTCAGATGAGGGGGAAACAGCGATATACCTGCGACGCACATTATCTTTAAATACTTAGGGGAGTCCCCGTTGAAATAAAAACTAAATTAACACCGCATGTGTTCCGTCACAACGTTGGACAGAAGTGGGGTCTTTGAACAGGAAGTGGAGGCCATTAGCGGAAGTCTTGGAGGGAGCGTGGTGACAGTAGTGACGGATTTGGCGCCATCTTGAGAAGGTCAAAATGATTCTTGGCATCAATGTCTTCGTTGCCTCCTAGTCTGAGCTGGAGCGTGATTCAGTTTGATGAGCCTCAAACGCAAAGAAAGCCCCAAGTTTTCAGGGAAGGATCGATTGCATCATTCATAAGAAAGCCCCACTTTCCAAAAGATTCCTCCCCTTTATATAGTAGCTGCTGCCTTCTAGGCGTCAACTACGTGGGTTTTCTGGTTTGCAAAATCATGTTCAGCAAACCAATATTATTAAACTACATTACTGAACATTTAGTTAGAAACTCCTGATTGCAAGGCATTTTCATGTAAATTGTGAGTTCGTTTTATATAAAAATAGGTACCAGGGATAGATACTTTTTTTTAATAATCAGGGCATGGTATTCGTTGCTTCTTAATTAAGCTCCCCAGGCTTTGAAGTAGTTAATTCCTGCTGGTTTTGTTCGTTGCTTTTGCTTTCATCAGCATGATGTTAATTACATCAGGAATTGTGTCTCTTTCTTTCCGTTGAATACTCAAACCCTAATTTAGCTGCTTGACACGTGGTAGGTGCTAACACATAACCTGCTCAATGGATGACTGAAGCATTGCCCGTTAGTTAGTCCAAAAGACAAGATCGAGGCTGAAAGAGCCCCACGCCAGGGATCACGCAGCCAGGAAGGTGCAGGACTGAGGTCCTAACCCATCATTGTCCGAATTCAAACCTCAGGTCAACCTCACTCGGGCAACCCTGGACAAGTTACTAAAGTGCTCTGAACCTCAACTTCCTCAGCTGCAAAATAATGTCAAGAAAGGACTGGGTGACCTTCTGCGCCGCATTCTGGCTGTGGGCTTTGAGACTGCGAACTTGAAAGCCCCGGTGGAGGCTGAGGTCTCGGGTCCAGAGCCCAGCACCGGGGAGAGCCCAGCACCGGGGAGAACCCGCCCTGCAGCAACTTCGGACCTTCCCGCTCCGCGCCCCGCCCGCCCCCGGGGGCGTGGCCCAGGCAGGCCCCAAAGGGCCCGTGCTAGGAGCAGGAGGGCGCAGGCGCGAAGTCGCGGTGACGTCAGAGGACGCGCGCTCGCAGCTGGGAGCCGACTAGCAGGCGCGCCCCGCCCCTGGGTCTCGCGCTCGGCCTGCGCAGGCGCAAGCCCGCAAGATGGCGGCGGCTGGAGCGGGCCGTCTGAGGAGGGCGGTTTCGACGCTGCTGCTCCGGAGTCCGCGCCTGCCGGCCAGGGAACTCTCAGCTCCGGCCCGCCTCTATCACAAAAAGGTAGGAGCGGGTCCGCGTCCGCGGGGAGCCGGGAGTGCGAGGAGCGCCGGGGGGGCCCAAGTGTGTCGGCGGCCGGCGGAGGCCTGGCCCCGGGAGAGGGGCCGCCGGGCTCTGCGCGGCCGGGGTCGGGGCCGGGGCCGGGGCCGGGGCGCTCGGCCCTGGACGGAGGCGCAGCCCGCGCCACGACTCTGCTCCGACTCTGCCCCTGACTCGCTTTGCCTCGTTACGCAGTAAGCCTAACCGCACGCTGAATAAAAATAAGAAGCGCGCGCTACAAGCTGACCCCGCTGTTGTCCGAGATTTCGTGCGTCCAACCTTTGAACTCTGGCAGCCCGAGGGGGTCTTGCGGGGACCTGCCAGCCGGGCTCCGGGGACGCGCGCCGGGCCCCCGCCCTCCCTGCCCTGGTGACCTTGGGCAAGGCTCTGCTTAGACCCCCGCACCCCCCCCCTTTTTTTTTGTAAACAAATGAGGCTCTTAGCCCCTTGCATGAGATAGTGTTTGTGGTAGAGCGGACACGGTGCCTAGTACACAGCACATTCATGGTGCTTGATGTTGTTGTTAGTCTTCTGAAAGCTTATAACCTCTGGGTGAAGTCACACACGTAACCAGCAGTCATCATGTTTTTGGTTTTTGGGGGGTTTTTTTGGTTTTGAGCCGGAGGGAGTGGGGGTAGAGGGATAGGGAGTAGAGATAAGTGCGTGGTTGGCAGTCCTGGCCTGCTGGAGGCGCAGAGTTCCCTGGGCCTGAGAGCCCTTCCCTTGGGAAACTACTGCTTAAAGGATGCAGTATGTCAGCCTGGATCAAAAAGTCCAGATTGGATATTGTCGTGCAGGGCCTTGGGCTTGGCGTCGAAGGCCGTGGTCGGATGCGTAGGGGAGGGGCGGGGGAAGGGGACAGGAGGATTGGGACAGTTACAGTTAGCTTGCATGCAGACCTCAAGGTTATCAAGCCATCTGTGTGCCAGTCTGAAGAGGGATTTAATTCTGTCCGGGCTTCGCCTTGGCGGAGCACGTCACCCCTCCCCGCCCACCTCAGGGGTGTGTTTTGTTGACAAGAACACGCTGTTTGAGTTTGAGCTCGCGACCTTTGTCAGCCACTAGGGCGCGCTGCTGTGCCAGGCTTGATTTCAGGGCCCTGAAGTCTGGGTACGGTGTTCTATTAGTGTATGTATTTTTTATTACTATTGTTATTGTGGACACATTCCATGCATTGCTCCTTCTCTGATAGTCTCCTTGAGGCTTCTGGGAACGCCTTCATTTCCTGGGCTGTAGTTATTTTTAGAATTTTTGATTAAGCCATTTTTTTTAATGGATTTTATTTGGAAATTACAATGTTTTTTGTCACTTAGGTAAAGGTCAAGTAACTACCTGATTTTAAAACATTATGGCACTAAGACGTGATTTTCCTACAGTATCTCAAACACTGCTCAAATCTCTGAAGATAGGTGGAGAAGAGATACAAAAAGATATGGGTCACAAATGGTTGTCATTGGCATGAGGGCAGGCCTTCCTACTCAGGTGAAACTTGGTATTTAACAGTTGTCTGCCAAGTACAGGTTGCTGACTGAAAAACTTGCCATCAAGTCAGGGGCACCAGTACCAAAAGAGAACTACGATTTCTTTTAACCCTCTCATTTCAGGTAGTGGATCATTATGAAAATCCCAGAAATGTGGGCTCCCTTGACAAGACATCTAAAAATGTCGGAACTGGCTTGGTGGGAGCTCCAGCATGTGGTGATGTGATGAAGTTACAGGTGCAACTGGTTTTCATCTTTATTTTTGCATAGAAGAGCTGGGATATGGGGGGGTGGGAGGGGGCAGATGAGAGGACTCACCAGGGATCGCACTCAGGCCATAGCAGTGATAGTGCTGAGACTTAACCCTTAGGCCACCAGGGAGTCCCCTGTTTTCATCTTTAATGGTAGTGATGATGATCCTTTTGCCTTTACACTGCTTACTAGTTTGTACAGAAATATTTCAGTCAAGGTTTCCATCTTGATTCCTGGGAAATGAGATGAGTCAGTGTTATAAGTGATTACAGCAGGGACTGAATCCTAGGTCTCTGTTACACTGTGCTTACCCTTCTGACATAGTAAACTGATCACACTTTTCTATGCACTGTGTCAGCTTACATTCCAACTTCAGTTAAACAAAAGGTTTTGTGAATTTTACTGATCAAAGGAAAGCCATAACTGTTCAGCTAGCAGTCCCCAGTGAAACAAGAAATACAGTAAGTAAAACCTTCCCCAAATTGGAGACAGCATGAAGGTGGTGACTGGCCCTTTGGGTAAACAGTAGCTTTAGCCACAGTCTACTTCATGTGGGTGGGCAGCTTTCCAGAGGTTTTCATGCCTGTCTTGGAAAACAGAAACAAGGCAAGAGGGAGCTACCAGTTGTAATTTGGTGCCCCAAAAAAGCATTAGGCAGAGACCTTTATTGCAGACCCTCCCGTGTTTATAGAATCACATCAACCCAGCAGCCATGAGCAAAAATATCGGGCAAAAAAAACAAACTAGAGTGGATTTACTAGGCCGGTATAATTCTCTGTACTTATTCTCATGTTTAACTTTTCGGCTCTAAACTCTTTGAATTAAAGTGAACTCAGTAGTTAATGCCAGGACTGAAAGACTTGGAAGCAAGACCAAAGCTCCTGGGGAGACTCGGTGACCCCTCCATGAGTGCCAGGCTCTGCAGGGAGCCACCAGGAATCACCACTTAACTCCTGTCTCTCTTCTAGATTCAAGTGGATGAAAATGGGAAGATTGTGGATGCCAGATTTAAGACATTTGGCTGTGGTTCTGCAATTGCCTCCAGCTCATTAGCCACTGAATGGGTGAAAGGGAAAACGGTAAGATTGCTTCCAAGTCTGACATTCCCCACAAACCTGGCTCCCAGTTCAAAGAAGGGCCCAGTAAGTGAGAAAAAAAAAAAAAAATCATAATTTTTTCAAAATAATTTTTTTTTTTAATTTTTCCTACCCAGATTTTTATTAAATTCTTCTTCACATTGGGAATTATGGATAATCTTGTTAAGTGATTTTTAGTTTGGAGGTGGTGGTTATTAATGATCATTTTTATTTGTTTGGAGGTTTTAGTGGCATTTTGTTTTTAATTAACTAGAAAAAAGATCCCTATCTCCCCCTATAATAAAGTAGAACTCAAAAAAGCTCTTTGACTTGCTAAAAGGTGCTGTGTTATTTCTCGGGAGTGTGGAGGTAAAATGGTTTGTTGGCTTGTTTTTTCTCTCCCCTCATGTTTCAGAAAAGATCATAGGTGGCTTCTGAGGATTCATGAAATTACAATCAGCCAGTGCTAAAATAGGGGCTAAAACATCCGAAACAACGAGGGTGGGGGCAAAGGGAGCAAACAGAGCAGAGCAGTGACGCAGGTGGCTGCCCAGCAGACCCTGTGAAGGTAGAGTTAAATAAAGCTGGAATGTCTTTTCCCTCCTGTTCTGTCAAAACCTCGTTTCCCAGCAGCTGCAGGGGTAGAAGGTGAAGGGAAACCTGGTAAAAAGCTGAACTCTAAATCCAGTCTTTACTCAGAAAAGCCACGTTGCAGGGTTCTCATCTCTGTGGCCCCAAGGGACCAAGTTCATGGAGCAGCATGCCTGGGGCACTGGGCCACTATAGCAGGGACTATGCCAGGCCACGTGCTGCCTGCTTTCCATGGCTCAGGCCTTCTTCCTGGCAAGGTTCCCTGTGCCCAGAAAGCATGAACCTGACCTGTTCCGGCAGGAGGCGGCTCTGGAGCGATTTGTCAAAAACTGTCCTCAGGGAGAGTGGAAATGAGGAGCCAGTTATCTGTGGCTCTATGAGAGGATGATGATCAGTGAGCAGAAGGGAGAAAGAGGGCCTTTCTTTGACCTTGAGAGCCTCATCTGAGTTTTCATGCAGGCAAAGAACTTCCTGCCCCAGGGTATGCCCTTAGACACTCAACTAAACCTTAGGTCCCTTTCAGTATGTCTGGAGGAGAGATTCTTCCTTGAGGACAGGAGGAACCCAATGAGAGCTCTATTTCCAGGTCTCAGGTGTGCCCCCGCCACCAGCCTGGAGTGACACCGGCCTGTGTGACATTTTTCCACCCTCCCCAGCACCATTCAGCACTAATTGAGGGGTTAGGTATTAGGACCTCAGAGAAACTGCTAATCCAAACACCAGCATAGGCCATAACTGCCTTTTTAAGGAAAACTCATATTGCTGGCCTCTAGTACATCCCTAAGAGATGCAGGTTCTCCTCTGGGCTTATAGAAATAGCTGCTGGCCTGCCTCGCCCACCAGACATGGGAGTGCATGCCTCAGACTGACAATCCCGGCTACAGCCTGACAAGCAGATGGGGGTCCCCTTGTTTGGGGTTCCTAAACAGAAGTCATCCCACCACCCTGCCCTGACGACCACTGGCGTTTTTTATTGTCTGTTGCTCAAGACACTAAAACTGCCTCTCTTTCCTGTGTCTCTCAGGTGGAGGAAGCCTTGACCATCAAAAACACAGATATCGCCAAGGAGCTCTGCCTCCCTCCGGTGAAGCTGCACTGCTCCAGTAAGTCTCCGCGCACAGTGTGCCAGCCAGCCGGACAGCTGGTAGTTATTTCATAATAGTGTCAGTGTGCATCGAGAGAGTGGCGATGAGTCATTTTGGTCACGGAGTCCATCTTTATAACCCACCAGGGTTAGAGCCACGGAGTCCATCTTCATAATCATTAGAATAGGGTGGTCCCAGCCATCTCCAGGAGCCTCAGGACAGGCATTGTGCTGGGCATTGGGCTGAGCTTGTCTTTGGCACCATTTCTAACGCTTAGAAGCGTCCTCCAGTCCATAGAAGGAGATATTCGGACATCTTGAGCCACGGAGGAAATTGGGGCACCCAGCCCTATGGCTCCCTGAACGGAAGGGCCAGGATTTAAGCCCCTGTCTGATTTCAGGATCTGTGCTGTGCCTACCCCTCTAGTAAAATCACAGCCTAGAGAGGAGGAAACTCAGCTTTCTCCTTAACCTATTCTGCGTGCCCTGTCACTTCCTGCCCAGCACTGCTGTGGTCGGGGTGCCTCTGGGTCTGTGGGTTAACCCCACCCTGCTGGGTAACAGCCTCTGCATTGTCTGAGGGCAAGCCCAGGTGCCGGAACTCTTGCACTTGGCTTTCCAGTTCTGCCTGTCTCTGAAGCTTCTCCCAACCTTTCCAAGGTAAAGAAGGAATGAGAAACAGTAACCTTAACTCATTGGCGGAGGTTGACTGGCCAAGGTAGTTCAAATCAGCAGCTGGGCCTCTTGCCAGGGTTAAGGCTCACAGGAGAAGTGCTGAGCACTGGGGCGGGTGATGCTGACGCAGTCCTAAGTCGGCTAAGCCCCAGCTTCTTTCCACTCGAGTTGAAATTTCAAGTCCCGGTGAACACAGACCACAGCTTGTAAACATTTTCAGGCCGTTTCCCAAAAACCCTGGACTTTCCATGAACCTGTTTTTTGCTAACATCTTCAGTGATGCTCCCTGCTGTTAGCTGGCTTTCCCGGATCTCCATTTTGATTTTCCCCCATTGCATCTTTTTTAATATTGACTCCAAAATAAAATTTTCAAACTTGGGGTCACTAGAGTGTGAAGTACCAGAGGCCATCAGGTCAACTAATCGGCATGACCTAAGTGAGGCCTGCTACCTTAACCAGCGTCCTGCATCTGTTCCTGACTTCCATGTAAGCAGATGAGAACTAACATTTGGTGTCCTTACTCCGTGTCAGACACTTTCTGTAAGTCCTCATGCTGCCCTAGCAGGAAAAGCATGAGATTGTCCCAGTTTGCAGAAGAGAAAGTAGATTCCAGGCAGCCAAGGCTCTGACCTAGAATCTCAGGTGTGTAGCCCTCTTCCCGTCTGTCTCTAGCTCCCCCGGCAGGAGTACTCTAGCTCCGGGACCGGCTGGCTCTAGGGCTTGCTGCTGCCCCCCAACATGGCTGCCCCCCAGCCCTCAGAGATGCTGTTCCTAGGGCTGTTTCTTCCAATCCTAGACACTCACACTTTCTTTCCACTACTTCCAGTGCTGGCCGAAGATGCCATCAAAGCCGCCCTGGCTGATTACAAGCTGAAACAGGAGCCCAAGAAGGGGGAGGCGGAGAAGAAATGAGCCTTCAGCAAAGCCCCTAGCAGGTCACTTGGCAGTTTGTCCACCCGCCTGCGAGCATAGATGTTCAGAAGCCCCTCGCGCTGCAATAAATAATAGCCCCCGCACTATGAGATGCGCACTGCTGTTCCTTCGTGGCTCTGTGCCGGCACAATACAGTCTGCTTGTTCTGAATCCTGTGGCCTCTGTGCGCCCACTTCTATCGCCTTACCCTAGTTCATGTATATTTTGAATGGTGGGGCCTCAAAACGGAATTGAACAAGTTTTGCTGGTCCATGAAATGCACAAATACCTAATTTGCCGGACTCTGTTTTGGAGAAGATTAAATCGGGTGCCCTGGCGTGAGTATTCGCGAGGGCTGGTTACTGTCCATCAGGCAGAGAAGCGTGTATGTGATAAATAAAAGAGTGAAGACAGTGTTCTCTGGTCAGCCTTGTCTCTTGGACCCTTGCCTCCAAGTGCCCAGAGCCCATTGGGGTGCTCAGATGCTGGGCCATGGTGACAGCTGCACACTTCTGAGCAAACTCAACAGTAAAGACTGCAGCTCTTCACAAAACCGAATGCGTGATGTGCTGCGGGACACGGGTGGGGGCGGGAGGGCCTGGCGTCTCGTTGCTCCATGAGGGCCAGAGGACTGAGACTCAGGGCCAGCCCAGTTACTGTGATTTCTCTGGTTTTTGAAATCTGAGAGCTCTTGGCTTAAGCGAGTCTGAAGCTGTAGATCAAATATGCTTCACCTGGGGAATCAGTTTTCATGCGCGCTGCACCCAGGTGTGGGCACCCCTGACTGCTGGCAGCCTCCTAGCAGATGAGCCGAGCCCCAGGGAAGACACTTGGGGTCTCTGCCCTACACAGGTTGGTGGTTAAGCAGTTCCTCCTGGCCTATCCGCGTGCACAGTGACCTTGAGTGGCTTAGAAACCACCATCCCTGGCCCAGCCACGAATAACGCTGGGATCACTGTCCTTCCTAACGCCTCTCCCACAGGCGGACAGGCAGGGCGTGCCATTCCGAGGTACCCACAGGCCTGCTCCGCTAAAATCCACTAAAGGAAGCGGGATTTTCTAGTGAAGCCAGGATGCTGAGATCTCTCTAATCGCCAACTCTTCCAAAGTAAGATGTGTCACTGTTTCTGATGGTGGTTTTTGGTTCAGGCACAGACTGACTGCCTCCTAAATATACCTTCCTTGTTAAAATGGCTTTAAATCCTCTGGGTTCTGGTGAAAGGCACAGAACTTCAAAGGCCATTCCCTCCACAGCCCGTGGAGACCACAGAGCAGTCCTTTATAAGAATCTCAAATTAGAGCCACCGGGTGGAACCCTGTCAAATTGTGCTGTGTGGCATGTTCTGTTTAATCCTCGGTCGTTCCAGGCTGAGCTTGTCTCTTCCCCATCTTTATTACATGTGGTAACGCAGCAATTCCCTACCACTGTCTCTGTGATTTTATAAAGGCAGCATTTTTGTCCAGTTGACATCCTTTCAGACTTGAACCTGAATCCTAACATCAGAAGCTTCTCGTAAACAGCCATGGCAATGCTACCAAGAATAGCCCAAGCCTCAGTGCGTGCTTGGACAACTGAAAGACACAGTTATTTGTAATTACGCTGAAGACGCTCCTTTGCCCAGTAAATCTAGTTTTAACCACATGAGGGCATCATGCGCCCTTCTGCAGCCTTGGAGTGGGTCTTAGCATCTCTTACTTAGCAGACCTTGGCATACAGTTTCCCACGTTCTACCGAGCACCCCTGCCCTGTGCCAGGCCCCCTCTCTGTCATCCCGCTGACTCTTGAGCGTGCTCTGTGGTACACATTTCAAACAAGGAAACTAGCTCAAAAGGTCAACCAATTTTGGCCTGCTGATCTGGGCTGCGTGACCCAAAGCCTGCACTTCCCCTGCCTCACATCCCGGCAGAACACACTGAAGGGTCTACCCGGGCCTCAGAGACTCACCTGGGTCCTGAGCATTCACATGAAGAGTGGGGACCAGCACAGGATGAGCCCCAATTCATTGTTTGGCCAACTGGCCACCAAAACCGTGGCCCTCACCCATGGCTGTGTGTCAGAAGCAGTGGGAGCCCAACTTAATCCCAACACCCAATTAAATTGATGGTCTGGGGCTGGGTCCTGGCACTGGTGCTATCTTAAAGCTCCCCAGGAGTTTCGAATGTACACCCGAGGCTATGAACCACGGTGACCACTGTGCCCTTGGCAAAGCAGTTTGCTAAACTATTTCGGTGGGTGCTCACGGTGATGTGTTACTTCCCATTTCCAACAGAGCTCTGAAGCCTGGGCCCTGCCGGGCCCCCAACCCTCCAGGCCCCACCACGACCCACCTCCAGCGTCTGTCTTATTCCTGGCCTTTATCATCCCTCGCTGGGCTCCTTGCCTCCAGCTTCGCTGTTTGGATCCGTTCCCCAAGGGTACAGAGGGGTCTTGCTAAGCAAAACTCTGGCCCTGTTGCTCCTTAAAATCTGTCCAGGGCTTCAGACAAATTACGAATTTCCCGCCATATGGATGGCTACGCCTCATTGCACCAAGCCTCACCTTCTGGCCTTTGCTCATACTGTTCCTCCTCCACTCAGCCTGGGGTTCTTGTACCAGGCATCACACTCTCGGGAGAACCTCCTCTGACTCCCCCAGGCTGAGCTAGGTGCCCCTCTCTGCTGCCACAGCCCCCTAATCCCATCAGTACTCCCCTAATCCCATGTATCGTGAGGTATTGAGTTTGCTATTGTCGTCCTATAGCATTACCCAGAGACTGGGTTGGGGGTTTTTTGGTATATTTTTGCTCAGTTTTAAACAGGACTATAGAAAAAAATCCCAACAGCATGAAGTCGAACAGAATAGGCATTTCCCAGCCACCCCTACTAACTCCCCGGACTCCCTCCTCAGAGCCAATGCCTGATACTTAGGTGCTCCATCAGAAATGTTCTAGGCGTATCCAAGTATGTTTAAATAAACTGCCCCCCTTTTGTCTTTCATACACAACTGGCATCATAGTGCACATCTTTTGCATCTTTTCATTTTCCTCGCAACCATATTTCTGAGGGTCATTCTATAGCAGTCCCCATAGATCTGCCTGGTTCTTACTAACAGCTGCACAGCATTCTATGTGTGGGGTCCATAATGTAGTCTCCTGTTGATGGCTGTGGACATTCTTTTCACTGCAATGTGTTAACTAGGGAAACCAGCATCTTAGTAGGGACTTCATGAAGGCTTATTGGATGGATGGATGGATGGATGGATGGATGGATGGATGGATGGACGGATGGATGGATGATAGATGATAGGCAGGTGTATGGGTAGATGGGTGAGTTTGTGAGTAGGTCATTGGGTGGGCTGGTGAGTGGTAGATGGATAGATGGGTGTGGGAGTGGATGGATGAGCCGGTGGGTGGGTGGGTCAGTGAGTGAGTGGGTAGGTGGGTAGGTGGATGGGTGGGTGGATGGATGGATGGATGGATGAATGGATGAGTTTATGGTTGAATGGGTGGATGGATCAATGGAAGGAAGGAGGGAGAGATGGTTGGAGGGACTAGAGGCCTAGAGAAGCCTCAGCTGACCCAGCTAGGCCAGAGCTCCAGCTGAAGTCGTCTTCCCACCTCCCACCCCCTTCAAATCACACCACAACTATGAATGCATCTCTAATTTCCTCAATGTTATTCTTGGATTTTGACTACCAGGGACCACATCAAAATGCACAGTTTTAGAACCTTATATTAAGCACTGTACTGTCCAACCTACTTATCTATCATGGAGTCTTCCTAAAAAGCCAGGCGAACAAGGGGTTATCTCTTGAGTCCCCTTGAAATTGAGGCTAGAGTGTATGCTCTGTCCCTCCTCGTAGCAGGACAGATGACTTCTAGGTCTCAGGGAGTCTTAGCTGTGCTAGGGAGACCCTGCAGATGAGCTCCAGCCCCAACACAGAGGGGGCGCACCCCTCATCTATAGCTTGCTTTCTCCACCCTCCAAGATGACATCAGCCAGTGCTCAAACGGCCACATCCCCAGAGAAGACCATCTCCACCCAGGGAGGCAGCAGCAGGGCAGAGCAGACTGAGCTTGGAGAGCTGGGGTCACCCTGGGTGGATTCTATCATGTGAACTTGAACTCAACCTCCCCAAACCTTGATTTATTCATCTGCAAGATGGGACAGATAACAGCACCTATCTGGTCAGCTGGACATGATGGTTAAATGAGATGATGCATGTGACGTATGTGGCTCATGAGAACCGTTCATCGTCGGCGTGGTCACGGTCAGGGTTACGTGGAACACCCAGCCCTCAGCTTAGACTTACCAGGCACATTGCTGGGAATTTTATAGAAAGGAGATCATTTAGTCCTCATGGAAAGCCTTAAATACTATGGTTACCCCATTCCACAGAGGAAGGAACTGGAAGGCAAAGTGATGTATCCAAGATCGCACAGCCAGGAAGTGGCAGAGGCAGGATTTTAGCTCAAGGTCATCTGGTCTGGAACCACTCTTGCGCTCTGCTTTCTGCTACTCTACTCTCTCCTCCCTACTGCTATTATTACTATTAGCACCGGGGATTATTACCATTAGTAATAGTAACCACTGAGGCTTGGTAGGGGACCCCTGCAGATTCCTGCAGTCCCTAAGCAGAACCATTAGCTGTCACTACTAATATTACTAGAACTGTTTCTTCCAAGCTATGGTGTCTTTGCCATGGATCAGCCCTTATAGGAAGGTCTCCAAAATTAGGCAAAGCTGTGGTCTGGCTGCACCCACGCAGGAGACACACAGACTTGACTTCTGTCACACATGGCTTGACAGGCAAGCTCACTCCCACGGTGCTTGGCCAACCATAGGGCACAGCTATTCCCCTGCCCAGCCTCAAATACTGCCACCACCACCATCCCTGCAGCTATCTTTGGAAATACCATGTTAGATGCACCAGTCCTTGGCCTCACCTCAGAGGAGCCCAACTCCCAGAATAACTGCAAAGGCCCCGGGCAGAGGACAACGCTCACTACTCAGGAGCTGCCGGCTGGCTGGGTGGGCAGTGGATGCATACCCCAGTCCATGGATGGGTGGGTCTTCCATCGTGCCCAGTGGGAAAATTTAGCTGGACCCCCTCTGCCCAAATACCTCCTGGACTCAGCTCTATGAGGACCTTTGAGCAGGACCTCAGGGCAGTAGGGGACAACCTTGGATAGGCACCCTGGGGTGTGGGTTCTTAACCCAGCTCTGCCATAATCTCTCCATGTGACCTTAAGCAGGTATTTCATCTCTCTGCACCTTGATTTCCTTTTCTGAATAACTAGTAGAATGCCAGCTTCTAAGTGCCAGACTTGTTGAGGAGTAAATGAATTATCACATGTAAAGTTTCATAAAGCAGTGCCAAGCACCCATTAAATGTTGACTGTGATTATCATCAATACCACCAAGAATACCATCACCGTCATTGTCATCATCCCACAGTCATC